GGTTTTTCCGATAATGAATAACGGATAAATATCACTTATCGTGGTCTGAATAATAGCAAAATATATTTCTAAGAATTTACTAAAAACAGTTGGTCTAAAAACAGTTAAAGTAGACTAATATATCTCAAACATAAAGGGACACTTCAGTAGTTCATGGAGGCAAGTATTTCAAACTTTATATCAATCACTCAGGAACATTATATTATTCACTTCATGTATTGTGCAACACATTGTTTTTATGGATATGAAATTTCTACAAGTTCACAAACACCTTTTCAGAATGACTTCAAGTGTAATCTTAAATAATTGTGAATTTTAGATGAAAATATTCCGTTACACGAATTATATCCTGTTGTATCCCGTGGAGATTTATAAATGGTAACTTCGATAACTATTTATGGACAAATATGATATGTATATTTCCTATTCTATAATTGTTAAGTAACTAAAGTATCCATATTCGTGTCCCCTTAATTATAAGCTTTATTTTGACCTATAAACTATTACTATACGATTTACCACTTTTGAGTTATCCCTAGTCCATTAATTACTGTTCCCCACATTCACAGCCACATTCGGCCAAATCTTGTACAAATGTTATTTTCTATTTTATGGTACGATGTGGTCTGTTTTATTGATATATAAACCCAGTATGTTTGAGAATAATGATTCATATTGCAGAGGCTGTTATTAGTGTTCTGGACTTAACTGGCTGGACTAGACAGAAAGCAGGACTGATAAGTACTCAAGACTGGTCATACGACTTTAGTGTATCATTGGGCGACCAATAATTCACTCCTCTCTGATTGGCGGGATTCAGCACGTTAGTATATGTCAAACAGGGCACGCACTCACACGATATAACATACCCATGAAACCATATATAAAAAACCACTTATTAGGACAAATGAAGGTATCAGTGAATACGTTTCTTCATCCGGAATTCAACTTGAATAATCATTATTTTAGCTAACATAAAGATACATGATATATTGATTAAAATTATCTAAAACTTTTTATTTAGTTTTATTGAAAATCTATGATCACATAATGTTTATAATTTTGACTACGAAACGAAGAGCAACTATGGTGACAATATTTGTTATATCACAATTTGCAAAACCATATAAAAAATGGCAACTGATCCATTCATTACTTGGATGTCTAATTCATCATAGATGAATAAGTCTAGGGAATGTTAATATAAAGGTTCTATATAGATAACTAAACTCCAAAGTTTGCATTATTGATTGACGTTAGTTAGACAACCACTGCAAACCGGAAAAAACTAGATAGTCATTTTGTTCTATTATAGTACGCCTTAGAAATGTGTATCTGTGATTTCATAGGAGATGTAACCCAGGACACGAAGCTTTCAAGGTGAGTGCCTTCGACTTTTGGGACATTAATTCGACATCCGATGGTATACATTTATCATCTCAACCAATAAGCGATATCATGCAATCATCTTTTTATGTCATTGGTTTATAATTTGGCATATATGAGATATAGTTGAACCACACTATTCACAACTTTAAATTTTAACTCTGAGAATCATCGCTCGATATAAATCACAATTGAGCATATGTAATGAGGAATGTGTATTTCTAGGAAGTTCCATACTACTACTAAACAACTGTCCAGTAATTCCTGGTTTTCGAAAGTTATTAAAATAAGGTCAATTTGTGATGTAAAATATAAGATATTAATTATCTTCTTATTATTGCACCTTTACAACTCTGTCAACATTCATAATCAATTCAATGTTATCATTCTTTAATTAAACATAGAATTAAAGCTGTTAATTTATAAATCTTCATAAAGTATAACATTTTTTTCTAAAAATCCAAACAGTTTAAAAGTACCTCTACTTTTGAACAAACTAATGTTTCCTATGGGAGAAGAAGTTCCATTAACTTGTTAAAATGAAAGAAATAAATCTTTGAATTTATAACAAACTTTTACAAGTTTTGTTTTTATATTTTTCTCTTGGTAACTATCCGTATATTATAAATAGGTCCAGTTAATAATAATCAATAACAAAAAAATCTTTTTTTTTAATATTCATCAACATTTTGAAGTAACAAATTGATGTGTTTTGTAACTTTAATTCATCATCATCTTCATCAGTAGTATCAAAATAAATAAATAATTTATTGAGTATATATACATATACATTAAAAACTGATTTTCTTTTCATTTGTAAACTAAAAATAAACAATTGTTTACAAAATAAATACATAAATTTAATTTTATGCTTCGATTTAAATGTCAGTTAAAACGTTTAAAAAGAAAAAGAAAAAAAGAAGAAAGAATAATTATTTACAGAATTAAATTTACTTGTTTGTTTGTATCTTCCCATTGATGTTGAAGAGTACAACAAAGATTGACCAGTTGCAATCCTAAACATCTACGGAAAGGTATAAACAAACAATACTAAGTAAATTTAAACTTTACCCCATTGCAAAAGCAAGTGGCTATCAGGGCTCAGTAGATGAGTGGATAATGCAATGGCGTTTGAAGCGAATGGTACTGGATTGGAGTCCCAGAGTGAACATCAACTCTGAGATGCAGGTACATCCAGCTGACAAGTGTGAAAGAGGATGAAACGCGCATCCTTGGTTCTACAGCTATCTATTATCCATCATTGCATATATTTGCAAAATTGTTTTCTTTCTAACTTTTTACTTGTCTATGACATATTTTGTTGATGTTTTCATCTTTGTTTCTAAGTATCAAAGAGTATGACTGATATATAAGTGTGTGTTGTTTACTTTATTGTTCCTGTAAAAGTATTCTTGGAACTACTTACTAGGTATTTAAACGGAAATTTATATCATCATCAAATACTTTTTTATTTTCATTTCATGTCATAAATTAATTTTTTTAATGACTGAAAATTAAAAAAATTCGTAGTTGCTGGAAAAAAGAAAAAAAAAATTGTCAAAATATGAATATTCCTAGAAATCGAAATGTGTATTTTTGATTGAAATTATTGTTTGTTTGTTTGTTTTTATCAGAAGAGGGTTTTGTTGAGATTTTTTTGGAAGAAAAGTTGTGTAAAAAATAAGAATTGAAGAATATGATTTTAAGTTATATGATTAGAAATAGTATTTGAAAAAATTGTAAAACAATAATAAGACTAAAAATGATCAATGATCTAGAGGTTAATTGTTAACAAGTAATATCGATGGTCATTAGTTCAATCTACGATGGTGAGATTGTTGATGTACACAACAAAGGAGTTTCATCTTAGAACTAAATAACTGTTCAATGTTAACAATTTTTCATGGGTTTTTAAGGTTGTCTAATTTAAGACTCTTTGTGATGTTAATAATGTTAATTTATTTTTATCTAACTGAAAAGTTCTTGCAGTAAGCATGAGCTTTAGTATTAATCGACACATATATGTCTCACATCTGCATGGAAAGGGGTTTTTGACATACACTTACTGACTTACTCCTGTTACTCCTTGTGAAGGAACATAGGCCGCTGACCAGAATTCTTCCAGTTACTCTATTCTTGGCTTCTCTTTCCAGCTGTTCCTAAGTGTTATTCATTATTTTAATATCTGCCACCAATTTCTGGCTCGATGTGTTCTTTGGAGTGCTTCTTTTCTTTTTGACTTGAAGATTCCAAGGTAAAACTGGTTTTGTGATGGGGTTTGGTGATTTCCGAAAAGTTTGTCATATCTATTCCAGGAGTCTTTTCTTAATTTTGTGTTTAGCTGCAAAACGTTTTGTTTTCTGCCACATTAGGTTGTTACTGATTTTATCCAGCCAACGGATCTGGAGTACCTTGTATAGACAGTTGTTTATAAATATTTGTACTTTTTAAATCATAATTGAAGTAATGCCTCAACTTTCAGTTCCGTTCATAAACACTGTCTTCAAATTCCTATTGCATATTCTGACTTTGATGTTGTCTGACAGCTGTTTTGACCTTCAAATGTTCCTCAATTATGGGAATGCTTTACTTGCTTTACCAATCTGTACCTTTAAATTTGCATCAGATCCTCTTTGTTCATCGATGATGCTACCCAGTTGCGAAAAAATTTACTCCAGTTCCAGAGTCTCTTCATCGTGTGATTGAATTAGCGCTCCGTGTGTTGTATTTGAAAATCTAGCTCTATCTCTTCTGTACGTTGAGGCCTACTGATGTAGAGGTTGCTGACACATTGACTTTCTTCATCTGCATTTGCTCTTGTGTATGGGCTAGAAGAGTTTGGTCATATGCCAAGTCCAGATAGTCTAGTTGCGTCCAACCTGTCTAAAGTATTTCGTGCTTCCGCTGACATGTGGAGGTCTTCATAACCCAGTCAACCACCAGAAGAAAGGGAAAGGGGGAGAGTAAGCAGTATTATCTGTCACCAGTCCTCACTTGGAATGCATTTGTCAGACGTCCTCCATACACCACTTCGCACCATAGTCAATCATATGAATTCCGAATGATGTTGAGAATCTTCTCAGGTACACCATGGTGTCGAAAATTTGAGCATAAACAGAACATTTGTCTACCAATGGCATCAGTTGAAGTTAACATCCACTTGAAATAAGATGAAGATCATCTGGTTGATCATAATGTCCGAAAAATCATTTGAAAGAAATGTAGTAAACTTAGTTGAATATATAAGAACTCTCGTCTAAATTAGAGTGAATAGTTTCACAGTATTTGAGCGCCGAGTTGATGTAAGACATTATATAGGAATAATATATTTGTAAAATCTCAGCGAATGAATTTGTAGTAAATCCAACGTTTCGCCTGGCAATCTGGTCCAAGCTTTATGGAATACCATAATTTTGATGTTTGATTATAATTCCTTGAGAAAGCTTGGACCAGATTGCCAGACGAAACGTTGGATTTACTACAAATTCATTCGCTGAGATTTTACAAATATATATTATTCCTATATAATGTCTTAGTTGAATATATATTTCCAAAAATATATTAAATTTTCTTAATCTACCAAGAAAGTGTTTTTTTGTTGCTCTATATTTTAGAATTCGGTTCTTCTCGGTTATATACAATGTACTGTTGGCCGTGTAATCCATAGTGGTGGTGAACTAATTTTACCAATAACGTAAGTCAATGTAATGGATTTTGATTTAATTTTACAAATCATATACTTAAAAGTTGTTTTTAAATAGCTGGAACGTTTTTAAATGACTTTTTGAAGAAGACTTTCGAAATAGCAGTTTTATGGAGTCTAGATTAAATTTTAGATGATGTTCTTACCAAAGTGGTACTAATTTAGGATATCATTAAAAAAGTAGGTAGAACGAAACCAGGTTTCGTCCCAGAACAGGAATTTTCTAAAGTGTTCAGTCATAACTCTACTAGGGGTCAAACTGAGGATTTACAGGTTTTATGGGAAGTTTCATTAAACCACTAAGTTTAGGTTCAACGGTATACATTTTTAGATCCAATGAATTTGTGATACAGTGTAGTTATTACCAAATATCAATATTACTTGATATATGTGCCACTGTATCCCAACCAAGCACTCTGTACAAGACCTGAGGGTCCTAGTATCAGGCTTCATCAGGGCCACTGGGTGCATACTACTGTTCAGTAGTTTTTGATTATTAATCATACTCAAAAATAATGTCAATTCATTGTAATTATTACTAGCATGTTTTGAATATAATCCGATAAAATATAGATAAAGCTTGATTTTCAAAACTTTGAAAATAGGAATAATAGCATTATGAAACAACAAAACCATTGTCTCTAACTTTAAGATAATGAACACATTACTTGACCTGTCAATGTTTTATTTTCAGAAACCGATTCAGTCATTGTCGTGAATGACTACCTCGATGCAGTGGTCTACTTGATAATGCACTGGTATTTTGTGAAATAGATACTACCCTTTATTTTTAGTCTGAACATCAACATTAGGGCTCATGCGCATTAACCTGATGAACTCCAATTAGAATGAAACGTACACAATGAACATCACTGCCAATCAATCCAAGAAATCGATAATTTTTGATATACGTTGTAAGGGGCAGACATTTTAGTGACCATTGTTAGAATACGAAAGCTACCATAAATGCTGTACCCCATAGTGAATACCTGACTACAGAAATTAATTTACGACGAAATTTGAAAATATTCTATATAAAGCAGTTTTTGCAACAGTTAATATTTTTGACTGAGAATTTCTCCTGGCTGTCCTAATTTCATAGTGTTCCGCATTGCATGAAAACCATACTATATATGATATTAACGACTACTTATATTGTACTCGGCATGTGTGAATACCATGATTATTACGCTTCATTCAGACAATAAGATGGAATATTAGAAAAAAACTCTACCAACCACTGAGATGTCACTGCTTGGGTTTTATAATATTCAACCATAAAAACTTATTACTAACATTTTATCAAAGTGGATATGTAGATAATGTAATAAATGAAAACAGACACAGTCTGTTTATAAAATGAGATGTTAATCGATATCACTTGTTAAGACTCACTTATAAGAAATCGGTCATTATTTCTCTATCGAATAAAGTCCCACTTTTCGATCAATTACACCCTATAACCGATACGATTAAAGCTCCAGTTCAGCCATAAATAATCCTAGCTCCTAAAAGTTCGGAAAATATTCTCCTATTCCATCCCAGTAACAAGTCTGATAGATAGGCTTCTATGTACTAATATTTTAAACACTTAGTCTTTATAACTCAAAAAATTATCAGTTTATATACATAAGTTATTAGACCACAACACACCTCAAATGAGAAATCATACTTAATGAACAATTAAGCCATATTTGACACAGAGCCGAGTAGACAGTACATAACTGATTAACAGTATTTAAAAAATAATGAAATGTATAACAATACTCAATAGGCTCAACAGAAACTTTGCGAAATATGGAATATTGAAATACAATAATCCACCTATCGAATAACTTTAGAATAAAAATATTAATATTAATAATCTACGGAATAACTCCGAAAGTCTCAACTTCTCTAATTCTCCTCTTCACTACAGCAATCACTAAGTAGTTATGTTAGTTAGTCAGTTAAAATAAATCTAAAATATTAAAAATATATTATTCCCATATATTGAAACCATTAGTAAGTATACTGCACAAAAATATAATCAACTAATTGATATTACAAATTATTTTCTGCTTACTATTTATTACAAAGGAATTATATATATTGACTAACAATACAAATCAATCACTACAGGCATCAAATATTAATTTCAGATATATTTACCTTCAAGCTTAAGATAGTAACTCACTGAAGACAAAGGTTGACGGTTGATCCATTTTGTGGATTGGTTGAAGTTAGACATTAACACAGTTGGATGCCGGTTCAGTGGTCTAGATGTTAAGCGTTTTTTTTCACGAGACAGATATGTCCTGGGTTCGAATCTCGCAAGGCGGAAACATGGATATGCACTACTGAGGAGTCCCACAGTAGAGCGAAACGGTCATCCAGTGCTTCGAGGTTTTCCATGTTGGTCTAGCTTCAATTAACTCATGATCTAAACTATTAAAATTACAATCCAAATTTAAGTAGTAACATTCACTTTTTTTTAAAAAAATAACAGTTAAACAAAATAAATCTGATATTTTTTAAGTATAGTTGAATAAAACATTTCATCTTTTTGCATTATAAAAACATTTTATGTCATAGATTAATTCATTTTCAATGACAAGTTAATACTTTTATAAATAAATATTTAGATTAAATCGGCACGTAATCAGAATGAATACAATATCTAGAATCAGGAATATTCAATTTCTTTAGTGTAATGCCCAATAGCTGTTATTATTGTTTATAATGTTAATGGGGTAAATTATCATTGATTTAGAATACAGCTGATGAATCATGATAAACAATAAAATTCAAGATAATGGTTTCGTCTGAAATAAGACTTATCAGTTATTTATGCCTAATGATTCACATAACAGAATTGAAATCCACTATTTTTCATTCCATATATGCCAATTTCCTATATACTAAGCTATTTATTTTAGATAGTCTTAAGTGTATTCAATGGATATGATGTTTATATCACTATTAAGAAGGGTTTAAATTATCTTGTCAGTATTTATGATGAAATTTCTACATTTAAATAGAAACTCTTCATTTACAATTTTAACTGTCAATAAAAACAAATCATCTAGTTTATTAAGAATAGAATCCCAAGTGAATTATGATAAGTTTGTTTTTGAGATATTTCTAAATGACTTATCCATTTAGTAGATAAATAGTTAAATCTTTGAACAAAATTTATCAACATTTGTAAACGTATTTTTGATAGAGAATAAAAGTTAAATTGAATGACATATATATTGTGTTCAGTGAGACATTTACTAACTAATTTTCAGTAAGAAGTTGTGGAGATGGTTGAATTTCATTAATGTCATGAACCAACCAATCTTGTGCCATCAACAAAAACCGGGATACACTGGACGGCCGTTTCGTCCCAGTGAGAATCTCCTCAACAGTGCACATCCACGACCCCGCACGCAAGACTTGAACCCGAGACCTTAGATTTCGAGCACGAACGTTTAGCCTCTAGACCACCAAATTGACATTCGACGGTGACATTGTCAAACTTCAACCAATCTAAGAAATTTCATGACCATTGTGCAACCCCTGACTGACAGTTATCATTTTCTCACTAGTGACAAGCTCTGGAGCTCTAGTGAAAAGCAGTGACCCGTGGAGCCAGTTCATGTCGTGTGTGAAGAAGTTGCCAACCGAAGACAATGGAGGAAGATTGTGGTTGTGCACTGCTTGGACGACTAATACAAGGACAAAACGGCCTTCCAGTGCATCCAGGTTTTCAATGTTCGTTCAACATTGATCGGTCTATGATCTTAATAAAATAATAACTAATCACTAGCATTTACACCAGACAAAACAGTGAATATAAATGTGAAAGCAGATATTTAGAGCGAGCATCGCAAATTAATCTTGAACAACCATTGGAAAACAGGAAGCATAATGATGTTATTGTCCTTGTTAGCTATTGTTTAACTAAGGTCAGTCAATGATAAAAACTATAAAATTAAACAACCTTCTCAACTATTACTCGATATCTGTTCATCTCCTTTAGTACGAAAACGGTATATGAATATTTATAATTCGTTTAATATTACTTCAACATTGACACATGATTACGTATTTTTGGTTGATAATAAAATCGCATTGTACAAATCAAATTTATGTTAATCTTGTTTATCAATTTACAATCAATTAATCAACACAAAGGCGTATACTTGTGTATAAACGGTGTAATTACAAAGTTCCACCCTCAATATGATCCACGTTTGATTGCATTTTATACTCAACTTGATCTTCATTTTAAGTAATAAAATAGACGAAAAGTATAAACGGGACTGAGATCATATCGATTAGTGTTACCTTTCCTATAATATATATATATATACCACAATGTTATTTTTACACACGAGATAACGTTTCAATAAACCCTAATGTCAACTTTGTAAAGGTTACTAGTAGAAACTGATTTTCTTTCTAAAACATAGAAACATTCATCATGTGCTTTTCTTTCCTTTCTGTAATTGTAATCTGTTGTAAATAAGTGAAGGCGGAGAAAAAAAGTAAAAGTACTAGTATTATCGTTGTTCCCTTTAAGTATTTTTTTATCACATCAGTTCAGTGATTTATCCTTTCAAATGGCTTTTGATTTCACATATTTAATTATACTCTTGTGTATAAATAAATAAATATATATATATATAGCGTTTAAAGTGAGTAGTACTTGGTTCGAGTCCCAGAGCGGACATCAACTCTGAAATGCAGGTGCATCCAGCTGACAAGTCCCAAATAGGATGAGATACACGTCCTGGATTCCACTGCTAGCCACTATCCATCTTTGCTTATCATTACTGATAACATTTCACACTGATTTTTTAAGTGATTTGAAATGAAAACAAAAAAATCTCAGGACGAAAATACTTATCAACAAAAAATGAAGAAATTTAAATGATCATTTTGAAAAATTCAGTCACAAAAATTTAAACTTGAGAACAAATCTTTAAAAGAATCATTAAAGCATGATAAAAGCTAATGTATAAAAATTTGTAGATTGCTTTTATTAAGAATGAAAATGTAACTGTTTTTGGGGAGAAGAAAAAGCTAAACAAGACAAATATAGTTTTTAACACATTAAATGAAGATATCTATGATAAAATCCATACGGACTGTTAGGAAACCTTAATTTTTGTCTTTGAAAAGAAAACGTATATTTCGTTGGATATTTATTGTTCAATAAAATATGCTTCATCTAGCACAATTTGCCTACTTATTTCAACAAAAGTTGAATTATCAACAAAACGATATCCTGTATTGTGTAAGCTATGTCTGTAACTTGTTCGATTATTATAGATCGACATAAAAAACTCTGTCTGGATCCCACTAAAATGGGATGACCTACCACCATAATCAGAATTGTGGACAGTAACGTTAAAATAGTTCTACTGTGAGGGGCTAAAACGTGCAGAACTACCACCACCAAAATGTATTGGTATTCATAAACAACTGTCTATGCAAGATACCGCAGATTAATTGATCAGAGTCTATCAGTAATAACCGACGGTGGTAGAGAACAAACCAGCCTCCAGTTGTAAAAAAAATTAAGAAAATATCCTCAAGTTGAAAAGAACACATTTTACGGACACCAGTGATCTGTGTGGTAAAGCAAGACTAACTTATAATCTACTAGGCTAAAGGAAAAGTCGCATATCAAAAAACATATGACCATATTAAAGTTAAACTGTATTCTCTAGTAGTATTTAACTCGTCTAGTAAAATTATTCGGCACTATTTTCATAACCCTATTTCTATATTTAGGGGATTTATTATTATTCCCGCCAATTTTTTTGAATTTTGTAGATGGAATGAAGATATTCAAGTTGATCGAAATACATCAACAGAGGTGGTCGGTAAGTAAATCTACCTTTTATATTGATTGTATATAGGAGATAATTTCACATCAATTTGTGACGCACTTACAATTAAAATAAACCAATATCATATTTCCTGTTACAAATCTTCATATAATTTAATTTTGCATTCCACTGCCATTTATCCATACTGAAATAATTTTAGCGAATATTAATTTGTATATCAAAAACAATTCGTGTAAGACTCATAATATAGATTACTTCATGTTGAAGTCATTAAAACGTTTGTTGTCATCTCTAAATTAGATTAATTTAAGATATCCAATTTAAAGGGACAACATATTTGATTCGTCTACTAAAAATTGAGTATATTACATAAAAACAACTTCCAAAAGATATTCGTCAACTTAAAAGATATTGAAGATACTATACATGAGCACTATGAATCAAAATACTGCTAAAATTTGGACTGATAATGAAATGGTATTTTTTGTAAAGCATTGTATATTGGATGCCGGTTCAAAGGTCCTGAGTTCGAATCCCACGAGGCGAGATCGTGAAAATGCACCGTTTTTGTCAATTAATAAAATGGTTCTAATAATATTATTAACTTTGATTTAATTTTCAAATAAGTTTATCTATAAATTTCATTTATTTTCTTTTATTAAGTTTTTATAATTGAGATTATTGGAATAATACTATCAATTTTTTCATTAGTAACGAACTATTCTTATTTACTTTCTAACATTCGTTTCTAGAATATTCATACAGTTAATCACTAAGCAATGAACTAATATGAATCGATTTTAAAATTCTCTCAAATTTATCATTTTTTTAAAAAATTAACTTACCATTTACATAATCACTAGATAAAGGTGATTCCTAGAGTTGTAGTAAAAAGTTATACTAATGGAATTCACCAACATTATATGTAGGGCAATTAGCAACATATCTTTAGACGACTGTATTTACAAATGTTAGATGAGGATTTAATGATTCGAAATCTAAACGTTTTCAAAGAAACTTGACTTTTCTAGCTTTCATGCCTAATGGAATGGTACATGAATATTACTGAGAAGTTCCATGCCACCTATCACTTTCCTATCATGGTTCATTTTATTGTGACTAAATTTGTGACTAAAACCGTGACTTAATTTATGAAATAGAGTTTTATAACAAATATCCTTAACACTATCTATTAGTATGATGTTCTGTTTGTTTTTTGCTTTGTTAGTTTTGTTTTATACTTTTAAGATGTTTTTAAGTAAGTTAAATCTAATTCAATATTACAACATTAAATTGTCTATTCATTTTTATCACATAAATGAATGAATTCACGTGGTATCGTTTGTTTGAATCTTCCCATTGATGTTTAGGACTGCAATTAATCAGTCTCTTATTGGCATATGTGCATACTGTGCGTATTGCCTCGATATAGCTTTAATTCACAAGCATTATAAGCAAAGATGGACAGTGGCTAGCGGTGGAATCCAGGACGTGCGTTTCGTTCTATTTCTGATTCATCGGCTGGATGTTCCTATGATGGCGTTTGAAACCAAAGGTACTTGGTTCAAGTCCCAGAGTGAACATCGTCTCTGAGATGCAATTACATTCAGCTGACGAGTCCCAAACAGGACGAAACGCGCGTCCTGGATTTAACTGCTAGCCACTGTCCATCTTTACATAAGTGAGTATTATTTATGAAATAATTCTTATATGTATATTTCGGTACAAATAATTATTATTCCACCCTTATACTACTACTAATAATAAAAACTTTGATTATGTGAACTGTTATAATACTACAAAAAGTTATTATTGTTTATTATAATTTATACGACATTTTAATTTTACTTTAGTCATCAACAACAACAAAAAAGAAAAAAAATTATTATTAAAAATAAAAAATGTATAATTGATTTTGTTTGAAGAATAAACTAACAAAAGAAAAATATTTTTACATTTTAGATCAGAGGGGGTTTTGTGGAGAATTTAGCGTTTTCACAGTTGAAATCATGAGTCAATCGAAGCTAGACCACCATCGAAAACCTGGAAGCACTGGACGGCCGTTTCGTCCCTTTATGGGACTCCTCAGCAGTGCGCATCCACGATCCCGCACCCGCGAGATTTGAACCCAGGACCTACCAGTCTCTAGCCGAAGCCCTTAACCGATAGACCACTTTTTACATTTGTAAAAGAAAACTAAAAAAATTTTTAATGTTTATTACATTTAGGCCAATAAACTGAATGGTAATAGAAGAGAGAAACATTTACGAAATGGCCAAGTATAATAATGATTAAACATAGGATACTTATTGGTTATTTAGTTTCTATGAGAAACTAATCATATGATTGTAATAATATTAACAGTATTCATTTAGAAATCAAATCATACATTCCGTATATGTATATATTTGACATTTTTCTAGTAGTAGAAACCAAGTGGCATGTTTTGTCTTATATGAAACTCCTTATCGTTACATACCTGTATTTCAGTATTGATTATCATACAGAGATTTAAATCGGGAAGTTTTTGATGATAAGTTCCCAAAATAGATGAAATGTAGCCATATGATTCCAGGATAGTATCCATTTCTGATCATTTCAGCTTATATTTAAGTGAATGATGTTCTACTAAGATTATGGAGTACATTTCATCTTATAAACTGATTGCAGCTTTACATCGAGGGGCAGAAGTGTACGCTTATGATTGTAAATCGGATTGAACCCATTTTCTTCACAGAATAATGATATGTATGAAACTTTGCGACCATTATTAATATTATTAGCTTTATTCAATATTATATTTTTGATACAATACAGAATTCTCAGTACAAAGTATTTCAACAAGTTTCCATTTCCTACTTCTTTGTTCATCCTAACCATAAATATTGAGTGAACGCTAGTTAGAAGTTAGCAATTCAGTCAATCGACATCTGAATAATGTACATTCCCTTCGCTGCATATTGCCAGCAACCACGATATCTCTGATCAGGCTCTTTTGTAATCTTTACAGCAAAATGTTGTACACTTTTCAAAAACGCACCTGAATAGGTTGTGCGATTAATAGCCATAATGATGTATTAAAACAAACAAAATTAGATAACTTGTTGAAATATCTAAATGACAGAAACAGGTAGCTTAGACGCTTAAGCTAGCCACTATGGATTTTCTCAAATAGAAAATACATTCAATACTTCAATTATTGTAACGTTAGTTATTCCACGATATATAATCGTATAAAGTTGTAAAATGAACAAGAATCAGTGAATGAAAATTATTTACATCTGGAGATGTTTCGTTTAATACAATAAGTATTTTCTTAGTTCAATCTTGACCTCAGCTACTGAACGTTTTACAAAGAAACTAATCAATAATTTCTATTTTTATTATACCTGAAAATTATTCCATCCAAATAAAATAAATCTTTTTCTTACCAAACACACTTATCTCCATTCCACAACATTATTTTTACTATATTTATTTATGATATACTAATTCAACTAGAAAATTAGATTACTTATCACATTGATTATCAAACCCTCTTATGAAATATTTGGATAAACAATGATGTTTATTTATGTAATCACTGAAAGAAAACCAAGATCATTTTAGATGATAGTGTAGGAAGGAAATATATTATATTTGAAACATGAAACTATAAAGTTTTATCTTTTGTTACCCCGGAAACAACAGTAATATCCATTGGTCATTATTATTGTGAGTTCAATTTCTAAAATGTAATCGAATACAGTTGTATTTGTTCAGATATAAATACTTTATATTATTTTCGCTCAAATATCAGTTAAATACTCATCTCTATGTATTTGGTAATAAATATTATTTATCTTTTCGAAATCAACGGAAACAATATAATCTATTCTATTTCGGTTTATTCATAAAACGAACAGCAAGACATTTTCAAACGATAATAATAACTATAAGTAAACTCCTAGGATTCAAAGAAACTTAATCTTATCTCTTGGGTACTTAGCAACAGTTACTGATGCCGATGACGATTCTAATAATAATAATAATAGTGATGATGTGGTGATGATAATCAATATGACTGAATATAACAGAGCCGAACGATACCGAAACCAAGCTCGTGTAATCGTCGCACTCAAAGACGACATGTTACTGCTAAAGACAGTAATAAAAGCGGTGATCAAAACAGTCGGTTGTGTCCAGTGGCGAACAAAGATAAAATTACCAAACTGTTGATCAAGCTAATAGTAGAATGATACTACACAGTCGCTAGCATGATAAGGCATAGATTCTTAACGATACATATTGGGTAGTCAAATCTATTGAGGTTAATTAGATTGACAATCACAATCAAATATACAACAAAACCATTCATTTCTACATTTACTAAACATTTAATTTTACTGAAATAAAATAAGAAACAATAAGAGAAATTCAATTTGATTCAAATGCAGTTCAAATGTAGTTGTTTAAAATAGTGAACTTTGGTACTTTTCCTCTTTTAGCTTATTACCATTGTGAATATAGTTTACATAGATCTATAAGATATGAAAGCATGTTTTTGATAAAGTCTTTCATGTAATTAAATGTTATTTATAGAGTTAGGTATCTTAACCATTTAGGGTTTATTTTAATTTACAGCTCACATTTGACATGGGTATCTTCACACCATGCTAACCCACATTAATAAATGTAATGAGCATGTTTTGAGTATGATAAGCTATGTGTGGAACTTAAAAGTCAGTTTTATTCATGTATCATACTTAGAAATTGATCGGTTTATTAATAAAGATCATGAGACAAAATATGGAATATTCAATAACAACCTGAAGATAATCTATAAGAACTTTCTTCTAAGTCAGAGCAAATAGTTTCACAGTATTTGGGTTTGAGTTGATGTAAGACATTAAATAGAAAGAAGAATATATTTGTAAGATCTCAGCGAATGAATTTGAAATAAATCCAACGTTTCGCCTAACAATCTAGTCCCAGCTTTTTCAAGGAAATGTAATCAAACATCAAACTGAAGATAATTTTCATTGAGTAATTACTTCAACTGAGGAACTTTTAGAAACCGAAGAACACTTGAAACGTATTTCGTATTAATTTGAAATTGTTTAAAGATATAAATTCATACTTAAACATATTAGGAATCTTTCATTCCGTGATCGGTCTTTCAGATTAGTTTGTTCGAATAGAACGATCCTCATTTTAAACTCCAGTTTGTATCAAAGCATGGAATTGGTTTGAAAGATTGCGAATACATGTTTCTAAACAACTCCAAAAATAAATAAAACATATGTTCAATGTTACTTGCCTTAAAACAGTTTTCAATCATACTGTAGCTTATTCAACTACCCAATAATTGATACCTGTAAGAAAGCTTTAATAACTTTCCACCAATTACATTAAAAGAATATACTTGATTACATAATATATTTTTATGACAAAAAACTCAACTCAAATGATAGATTCATTCAGAAATTAATTTTAATATTGTGGTTCATTTGTTTTACTCAACATACGGACGTAAATTGAGTTTCATATTCCTTTGTAAATGTTGCCTCTTTGCTCTATATGTATTCATCATAATTTTGAATGCTTATTTCAAACATTTTTTTTTATATTCACATAAATGAATGAAAATTAATTGTTTTATACTGTCAGAAAAGTTTTTTTTGGATCTGGAGAAAATGACATTTTTTTTCTTTAAACAATCGAAATCCATTTATGAACATGAATAGAATACCTTGGAATACTTGTTCAAAATGGTTGACTGAACTAATATTTAGCAAACCTTTCTGGGTTTTGTCACATCAAATTTATTTATTTGGGTGATAATTAATAGATTTTTTGACGAAACTATAATTCATGGACAAACTAATCAAATTTAGGATAACAGGTCCAAAAATTTTGATGCGAAATTTATTCACTCATTCGGTTAAATAGAGTTTTAGGATTTTAACTGATATCAGTTCATAAGGAAAAGCCTAAGTCTAATTCCTAACGCTAAATCATAGTCCTAATTTCTCAAACTAATTTATAACTCTCATGTAGCCCTAGTAAGTAGAGAGACATTTGTAAGGTCACTTTAGCGTCACTGAAAGATTATCCACAACTTAAAGTTTCACCGATTTTTCCTATCATAAATAATTTTCCCAAAAAATTTCTATCATTTTTTTTAAAAAAATTCTAAAGTTTTGGCTTTTAAAATGATCAATCTTTTGGTGATTAATAAAAAGCCATAAAATAAGTTCTTTATTCAGAATAATGATTGAAAGTCTAATCCAAGATGAGCATTTCATAATTATTTCCTTAAAGTAAATATATTTCTATACGAATATTCATCATTGTAACCTCATAACACTTGGATTAATTTTGATTTGGTTATTTATTCTCTGAAGTGGCTTACACTGAGTCACGAAACATCAGAAAATCTAATTTTTCTACTGATTGGGATATTACATATTTATTATTTTATTTACTTATTTCAAATGTGTAGTAGTAGATATTTAAGTATCCGTAGAAATAACAATGCTAGTGTATGGAAACTATTCACTTAATTTAAAATAACTCATGACATACTAAATTACATTTATTACCTGATATTTATACCGTTTTGTATTAATCATCATCAACCCCATAATAACGTAATGGATTCACGTAGGTAGAACTATAATTTACAAAATATTTCGTTGAAACTAGATGCGTCTCATTTTTATTTTATCATTCTGTTCTCAACAGCCTGTAGAATTATCTATCAATTTTTGTTGTTGGAATTTAAGACTGGAAAATACCAGTCTGTTTTACAATATGTACATCCTGGGCGGATTACAATCCTAAATTTTAACAACAGGAAATCCTAAGCTTTCAATGATACTTTCATACTTTTTGAACACTTTTCTGAGCAGTTTGCAATGTTTTAAGTTGGCGTTTAGAGTGATAGACACAGGATCCTAATCTTAATGTAAACATCAATACTCTTAAACAGGTACACCCACTTAGCGACTTACAAACAGAAGGAAACTTACATCCTGAATTTCACTTCTGCCTACATGATAGATAGATTAATAACTCATTCTATCGACGACATGGTGTCCTAACAAACTTTAGGTACATAAACTATATTTTGTTGTGAATACAACGTTTGATATGACTCAATAAATGTTTTATTATTATTATAAATATTATCTTCAATATGGTTTGCGTGATTATGGTGGATAATTTTTTTAAAAACAAACTATGAAGCGCTTCAATAGTTCCGAATTTTACCTTCCGATATTTAAAAAATGTATACTTTAAAATACTTTTCAATTATTTTTCACCCTTATTTTACAACCTTACCGATTAATTTTGTTCTTCTAATAGTTTTCTTTGGTTGTACAATATGGTTAATGCATGGATTTCATCAGAATTATTTTATTTGTATTTCAAAAAGACAGGAAAATATATTACCCACTATAATAGTTACATCTGAAGCTTTGTAAAATTTTCTTTTTGACAGGTTACACGTTTCCCATAAAAGTGTATGTATACATAGAATCAATATTGGAAAACTAATCATTTAAAATAAATTAGAAAAAAACGATCACACTACAGTATTTGTGCTATATCTCGAGTTTAGATTCTTAGTATATCGCGTAATACTTGAGCACTCCAACGCTAGAACTCTCCCAAGTCGCAAAACGAGAAAAAAGAAGACAAGTAGAAAGGAATGTTATTCCAAGCAGTGCAAATATCATACGAAAATCTCATGTATTTATAGTTTTTTGGCTGAAAAAAAATTATCATTTCGGATAGCCAATAGACACATAGGTAGTCCTTCTTATTCCATCAATAGGAGGGCTACACGTTGACATTCTAGAATGTTACCCTAGTGGTGATTGGATGGAACGTCTTCGGCTCTTTCTGGGCTTCTAGAGGCTTCCTTGAGTTTTCCAACAAGCCATCCTAACAATTTACATACCTGAAAAATGAATAACTGAAAAGTATAAGTTATCTATCGTTTGTTATTGTTTTTAATATACAGTTTTATCAAATAAATTTTTGTTTCAGCAATATTTAAAATGTTCATTTCCTGTTTGTTTGTTTTTTTAAACACAGTTTGTATTCGAGAAGATCCTTTTTCCAAAGTAAGTCTCTGTCCTTATGTAGAAATATTAATACATTAAGCATTGATAATATTAAATATTAAATTCTTATCATTATAAATTAAGAGAGAGAGTACCTATAAAGAGTGCTGCTCCGGTTGTTAAAAGGGGCATCGGCCGCGTGACTTCCGAAAAATCTCGGCTTTCATCATGAGGCGTCATAATTCTTCCTTCGACTCCCGGGGCAGTGTTTAAATGGTTTGAATTATTTTTTCTGGTTAGCGTTTTGTGGCAAGTTAGTTTTTCTATGAGATGGGGTCGCTAACCCCATGCCCAACCCTCCTCCTTTACCCGGGTTCGGGACCGGCAGTAACTCTAGAAGAGCCACAGGCGGAGTTATCATTATAATTATATAATTATATTTTTAAACTGAAATGTTACGTACAGAAAATCAGGATCATAGAGAATGTTGTTCATTTGTAAACTTCTCAAACATCATCATATGAAATAAAACTATACAAAATTCAACCATTTGAAATGGTTCATCTAAATAGTTTGTATTCAACAAATACCAATACTGACATAACTTTTCATCAACAGAATATAGATACGCTGAAATTTACTTCCTATGTAAGAATAATATAATAATAAGTTAGAAAAATTGGGTTATAACTTTAATATAGTCATTGAACACTAAAAAAACAACACAAGGCTTTGACGATATTCAACAAAGCAGATAAAATAAGACAATAGATTCGTCTTTACAATACATGTGTATTTTGTGACTCAAAAAACGATAGTTTTAAAAACGAACACTTCTAGTATGGTTGACATTCTCTAAGACACTGAGAAATCCATTTTCATTTATTTAAACAGAATACAGAACTATATATTTACAATTGATTGATCACAGGGTGGTGATCAAAGTCATGTATGTTATGTCCTTCTTAGTGCACATCGAATCCTATCGATTAAGTTGTAATGTGACCACCAGTCTAGGTGATAGGATTCGATGTGCATTAGAAAGGACTTGACATACATGACTTTGATCACCACCCAGTGATCAATTAATTGTAAATACATCTCAGTCCTACAGGAGGTTAGTAGCCGCCCGGATATCTCAGTGGTAGCGCCTCTGATCGGGAAGCTGGGTGACACCGGATCGAATCTGTCAGGGAGCATCAGTTCACTCAAGATTAAAGATACACCTTCCTGACGAGTGCCAAGTAACACGAAACCTATGTCCAGGGTTTTCTGTTGACTATCTCCAACCACCATCTTAACAGAATTATATATCTATAACAGGTCAACAAAATAAACTTGTTATATTCATGTACACATTAAGTAATTAAAAAGTTATGTTTGGTTGTCATATAGCAATGGTAACAGATATGCATATACCACTTATTAAAAGCATTTCACAATCAAACTAATCACATTCGTTTGTATATAACTTTTTCGCAGTGGAAACAAATCTTTTTATTTCTATATGAAGGAATTATGAGGGTTTGGATTTATTCAGTCAATTGAAGCATGTCAAGTTGATATTCAATCTTTAAAAATTTTGTTGTGAAAAAGCTTTGACATTGCAAACTCACTAACATCAACGTCTCTAATAGGCAGGTCTTCAGAATATAATGCTTAGGCCAAAGTTTTATAATCTAATTCGATTTTTAACTAAAGAATCTGTTCTCTTTGAATGATTAAGACTGACGTTAAGAATGGCACTGTTGTAACATGCATTTGTTTATAGTTTAATTAACCGACTAATCTTAGAGGGCTGTTGAAAAGGAGAAAATATTAGATAGCTGATCTTACTACAGGAACTCATAGCTACAAAGCCTGGAGGTTCTGAGTTCTATCCTATCAGAGCTCATCAATCCATGTTATTAAGAATTCGAATACTAAAATTAAACAGCTATTCAATACTTTCTACTTTTCGGTGGTGATCTAACTAAAGTTAGCCCGTAATGTAAACTATGAGATTTCAACTATATCCACAAAGTGCCTTCAGTAATGCCTTTTTCAAACTAATTAACAATATTATTCTACATAGATAAATGGTTCTGCAAACTGTTAGTTGTTACTACGTTTTCTCTGTTTAAACTACTGTAACTATGTTTTCTGTTATTCAAGAGAAACAATTTTTGATCGAAGGATACAGTTTTATATGATTGAAATTCAATTTCGCTTGTTATACAAATCGAAATCAGATAAAAAGTTTCATATTCTGCGATTTATTGATAGTTAATATTTCAGATAACCGATGCCTGAACGATATTTCATTATTCTATCATTTTCACGAATATTATCACCATTAAGCGTAACTATACAGTATAATGTGTTTAAAAGCAGTTTTAGACTTCAATTAGATAAATCAGCCTTTAATAGTTATTGGTAGCTCACAGGTTTCAATAAACCACTGATCTGTCTCTCGTAATCGTGAAAATTTCTTCTTTATTCTGTTCACTTTCGAGAACCATATGCACCAATACTAAAAAAGAGAGCATAAAAAATTACATCATTACTATCAATTCTGTTGTTTACTTGAATGTGTCAGGTGAATAATTCATTTCTAAGTATTTGAATCTTCCCTTTGTGAATATTAAGGGTTGAATTTGATCGTTTTCATTTATAACATATGCATCTTCAGAAATGAGTTTTAATCTCCGGAGTGCAGTTACACCCGTTCGACAAGTCTCAGATAGCACGAGATGCACTTACTATCTTCCACATCTAACCACTGTGTGATTCCACGTAAAACTGCCGGATTAATGTCATATTCTTAATATTAGCTAAGAAAAATAAATATGAATGCTATGTAGGAAAGATAATCATTATTTTCTTAACAATGAAATAAATTTAAAATCCTTATTCGTTCTTTAATATGTGTTGAATTAATTCTGTGAAGTTACTCTTATGATAAATTTCTGGCATTACTAAATGTAAAAGCTTAGAAATGAATTACTCTAATCTGACTCTTGGAATTTTTTATTGAGATCATGAATTGATCACTGTTAAATCATCATTGGAAACCTGGAAGCATTAAACGGCCGTTTTGTCTCTTGGAATTTACGTGACGATTTCTAATATAATTTATATATCGATTTCTATAAACCTTGTCATTTTACTGTAGTCCACTAAACTATAAAGAATTTAAGTGTTCACACACTAAATAATTCACTACTTATTAGTACTCAGCGTTATGTCACCTAATCTCCTGAGGTTGACAAAATTCTACTGATTAGATTTCAATGTGATTTAATATCACAGTGGATTTTGTTTACTATTTTCATGGTTAGCAAGAATTTCCCAGTATAGTTGTTACAAGACTATGAAAATGCCTCTGATTTGAACATTAAAACATGACTCACATAAGTTTGAAAATACCTCTTACTGAAGAGTAACAATTAGCATAATTCTCAGTAACAAAGAACATGTGTATACAAGGAAATATAATTCAATTCAACCAGTTTTACATACATCAAATAATAATAATACTATGAATACAGTGACTTATTTAATAGCTATCTTGAAATCGATCAAACAGTATTGGACATTTTTCATAATATTGATCTCAGCATCTGAAAATGATGATTCTTCTACCAATCAGACAAGTATAATACAGAAATGAGTATATTCCTACAAAAAATGTTCATTTTCTCGTCGCACAATTACTAGAAAAGTCCACTTATTACATTTGGTTTCAGTGTAACTTGTATAATTATCATTATCAGTGAAATCCAGAACACCTGTATTATTTTATCTGAGACATGTTGGCTGGATGTACCTGTATCTCAGCGTATATACTCACTATAGGATCCGAACTCATTGCCTTCAGTTTCAAACACCATCATATTGGCTACATTCCATCTATCCTATATGAACTTGTGAAAAATGGCCATATCAAGGCAATCCATACAGAATGGACAAAATATTACTAATAGAAAAGTCAAAACCTTTACAAATTAAAATTTCATAATCAACATCAACTCTAAAATACAAGTACATTCAGCTGACGAGTCCCAAACAGAACAAAACGTTCACCCTTGATTCCACTATTAGCTACCATTCATCTGTACTTATAATCCTCGTGATTTAAAGCAATATCGATGCAATCTGCATATGGCGTACATATTCTAATAAGAGACTAACCAATTAAAATGCTAAGCATCAATGAGATGATGCAAACCATTAATACAAGATTAATTATAGCAACAGTTGCTATATATAAATTAAATTAATTTTCTTATTAAAATATAACTATTTATTTATTTAATTTTAAAAATTAAAATTTAGGAAAATATTTTTATTAAAATGAATGGAGCAAATTTGGATAAAAAAGATTTTTTCGGTAAATCAGATCCATATGTAATTATTTATCGAAGAAATGAAAGAGGAAAGTAAGTAAATGAATATTATAATCAGAAGAGATTTTTTGTGGAGATTTTAGTATTTTCATAGTTGAGAGAATAAGTCAATTGAAGCTAGACCACTAAGAAAAACCTGGAAGCAATGGACGGCCGTTTTGTCCTATTGTGGGACTAACCGATAAACCACTGAGCTGGCATCCGATGGTGTTAAGTGCTCTGGCGCGAGACTGGTAAGTCCTGGAATCGAATCTTATGAGGCGAGGTCGTGGGTGCGCACTGCTGAGGAGTCCCAAAATAGGACGAATCGGCTGTCCAGCGCTTCCAGGTTTTCCTTGGTGGTCTAGCTTCAATTGACTCATGCTTTCAATTATAATGAATATCGTTTTAAGAAAAGTCATTTATATTGATAAAATATATTGAATTTATTAGATAATTTATGAAATTTAGTTCAATCTGAAAATTATACAGAGCTCCTTGAATATCTCGTGCTTTTATAATCTATATGAATTCATGATAGAATACAATCTTCTGCTAAAATCTGAGTAGTTGCTAGGGTGATTAGTGATATTCCATTGATAAGTTGTATTATTTTAATAATCTGATCCAAATATTAGAATACTTGAGAAAAGATCTTTGTGCTCAGATTTAGAATAATTCTAATATCATTTATATGTGTAACTGTTGAGTTCCGGACTGAAACAAAACTACTATCAGGGAAACTTCAAAACAAACTAAAGTTGGCTAATATGATTATAACGGTTACTTATAAATATAAACAGTTTCCCCATATTTGTAATATTTTTAAAACGCTGATAGGGTCCGGTATAGTTACCTCGTTAAGGAATGGTGATTTAGTCGATAATTAATTGTTTTTTAAGCATTTGTGAACAATTTTTAAAACAGGTTCAATGAACAATCGCACTATAGAGATATTAATAATAAAAACAAAGTTTAGTTTTTTATTTTCATAATTTCCTGACGGAGTGATATTAAACAGACGGCCACTTAAATCCAGGAAGTATTTGAATATTGTGTCATCCTAGTTTGGGACTTCGTACCAAATCACATTCATGAACCCATAGGCAATCGAACCGGTTATTATCAATATAGGGATTTGTGGAGATTATTGAGTGTCTTTGATTGATTCATACACTTATGCTAAAGAATCTCACACTAGAACAAAATAGCTATTCAGTGCTCCCTGATTTCTAGTAGTTACAAACACAGCCAACTGGTTATAATTTACAATGACTTTTCTATTTAAAAGTGGGGATAATCTAGCAATAAGCACTGAACATTCAAAAAAGATTCTAAGGTTAATGTTAAGTATTGAAGTATATAGTTGCAATTCCTTATTGACAGTACTTTTATCATAATCTTTTTAAAAAAGGGACTGTTTTAAAATAACTTTTTCTTATTAAAATAGATTACAAAAATGTTACCGAAGTGAAGTGATCAAGAATACATTATTTCCAGACTGGAAACCAATACTTATATGTTTAGATAGATTATGTGGAGGGAATATTGACTGGTAAGTTCTATTCAAATGCCTACATTCATTCATGCTTACACAAAAATCCATATAAATTTTAAGATACAATGTATATATATATATAAATCTTGGGTAAGACTCCACATAGATTTTTATGTGAACATTGTTGAGAAATCCTAAAATGTGAGGTAGGCTAACAATCCGCTGTTGTTGTTTTTTTTGCTTTTTATTAGTCTTCTACTCTGTATTACAACAATATTATATTATATCAATATTGTTTTCATACTGTAAACAACACGTTAATTTCTTCCTCCGATTACGTAATGTTTATTAGTCAGATAGATAGGCTCCGGGAAAATCTCCCAAACCAACTATATACATTGACGATAATTATTTAGAACCATTAAACCTTGATTTTTGTCTTCCCACTCATTGTTCTCAATAATTCAGTTACATATTTAGTTAATGGATCTTGATAATAAGCATAGATTCTTGTAACATTGACTACATTAATCAATGAACATCTATCATTTTCAAAAATAACAGATGTGCTTTTAACGCGAAAACTTTGCTTCATCAAAAAATATCGTTTTTTTTCAATAATGATTTTATATTAATATATTCAGAATACCCTTGAGAATACAGTAAAGGAATGATACCGAAAAAAATCAGTAAATCAATAAAAGTGTCGTTCTCCACCATTCCAAAATAAGGATTTTCGAAACAAAAGACATCTCGTATAAACTTTTAAGCATTCACATGGGATCTGACTATCAACAAACATCAGTACATTGAGATATCAAGAAGTGCACATTTCTGATCAATTTATAAGTGATTTTAGGAACCAAAAAGTAATACAGACTTTAAGAAAAACGTTATTTACAACATAGTTTAAGTTAATAAGCTCAACAGCATCACTTTTCCTGAGAGTCCTAGATAATTATTTAAAACAATCTTCAGAAGTTAGGAAAAGTCCGATACCCTCCGTTTCATCAGCATTCAACGGAAGCCTTCTGTGACTTTATAGAGAAGTGATGAATTATGTGACACATTTTGAGTGCATAGTTGCCTATTTTCCCAAAACTTTCACGCTACCAAGTTTACATAAACCTATAACACTCTTGTTTTCTGCACATAAACTAACTTTAAAAGTAAATCACATTTTTTATTCTTCATTTCTTCCATCTTCCATAATATGGAGCTAAGAAGTGGTTATTAAATTATAGTCAACTATTCGAAAACCAAACTAATCAATTTATCAAAACTCAATAAATTAATTTTAAAGCCTTTTATTATATCCCATGCAGATTTATGAATGATAACTCTGAGAGCTACTTATGGACCAATATGATATGTATATTTCCTATTCTATAATTGTTAGGTAACTAAACTATTCATATTCGTGTCCCTCATATTACAAGCATTGTTTTGACCCATAGACTATTACTGTACGATTTACCATTCTTGAGTCATCCCTAGTCTATTGATTACTGTTCCCCACATTCACAGCCACATTTAGCCAAATCTTGTACAAATGTTATTTTCTATTTTATGGTACGATGTGGTCAGTTTGTTTGGTATATAAACCCAGTATGTTTGAGAATAATGATTCATATTGCAGAGGCTGGTATTGGTGTTCTGGACGCAACTGGCTGGGCTAGGTACAATGTAGAACCGATTAGTACTCAAGACTGCTCATACGGCTTTTGTGTATCGTTGCTCTGATCGATAATTTACTTCTCTCTGATTGGCCGGAATCATCACATCATGTATAAAACATGGCACTCACGCAATCGATATAACACCCTTAAAAACTAACTTCTGTTTCATTAATAATTTTGCAATTTATACACGATATTTTATCGTCTCAGCAGTGCGCATCCCGCCTCGTGAGATTCAAACCCATGATTTCAACTATATATAAAAAAATTACTTACAATCTCCACAGAAAACCCACATATTTTTTATTCATAGTATCCAAACTTGTACCAATCTAATATGTATGTCACTTACAAACCTCTTGACAGTAAACAATAACACTCAGAAACTTATATTCCTATGAAATTATATCTATATATGTATCTAAATATCGATTAATATTCTTTTTTTTAGTGAATTATATTTTCGATGCTTTGATTGGGATGGAGCCGTAGGTGATTCGTAAGTTAACTAATTACATTTTTTTTATATTTCATTACATTTTGTAGATTAATTCGTTTTGTTGATTTGATTAAAACGAATTCAAGTGTAAATTAAACTTCTAATCATTAAAAAACCTAGCATACTGCTATAAGGAAAGATGGATAGTGGACAGCAGTCGAATCCAGAACGCGCGTTTCGTCCTATTTGGGACTCATCAGCTGGCTGTACCTGTGTCTCAGAGTTGATGTTCACTCTAGTACCGTTTCTTTTAAACGTCATCGCGTTATCCACATAGTTACTGAGTCCTGATAGCCATCTATTTGTGCAATGGGGTGAAGTTTTAATTCACTTGGTGTTGTTTACTTGTATCTTATGACAACAGGTAATATCGAAGCAGTTCGCACAGAATGCATTTATGCCAATAAGAGACTGATCGATTTCAGTCCTATATAAGAATGGGAAGATACAAGTAAATAACACCAAGTGAAATTAAAGCATACTTTTATAATATGAGAAAATATCTGTAACCATTAATTATTTGGTAGAGTTATATTTTATATAATAATAAATCATGATGGAATAAGATATGTTTGTGGATTTATAGTTTATCTTCCCTACAATTGTCAATATATGTGCATTATCAAGCATTTATCCGTTCATTTAAGTAGTCAATGATGAATATAAGAGTATAATGTTTCATTGAGGATTTCATTTCAATTTCCAACTTTTAATCCATTCGCCTTTTTCAATCCGACAAGCGGAGATGAGCTACAGTACCCTGCTCAACAGAAGACGTATGTAGATAACATTAGATGATTGACAAATTAAATGAAGCGAAAAAATGCTCGAAAACTGTAATTATTTGAATTTTAATAAATATTAAAAAAGTCGAATTATACTCATTTACTGTTATATCTTGAACTTAGTATGTCGCGTAATACTTGAGCACTCGAACGCTAGAACTCTCCCAAGTCGCAAAACGAGAAAAAAGAAAACAAGTAGAAGGAATGTTATTCCAAACAGTGCAAATATCGTACAAAAATCTCATGTATTTATAGTTTTTTGGCTATAAGTAAATTATCATTTCGGATAGCCAATAAGCACATAAGGGGTCCTTCTTATTCAATCAATGGGAGAGCGACACGTCAACATTCTAGAATATTCTTCTAGCGGTGATTGGTTGGAATATCTACGGCTTTTTCTGGGCTTCTTGAGTTTGTCAACGAGCCATCCTTACATTTATCATGATTGCAACAGGTCATTTAAACTTTTCTCACATTTAATGAAAACATATAAAAAGAATTCAACATATCCACTTTTGGATTTTTACTTTGAATAGGGGATTACCATTAATATTTTAAGAAGTCTACTTTATTTTATATTAGATTTGTAAGATCAATATTTTTATATCTTATTTTATGTGTTAAACACTTCCATTTGAACCTAATAGTCAATCATTCAGTTGTCCAAATTTATCTTAAATTCTACTTCTTATAATTTTTGAAAAAGTCAACTTGAAAGTTTAATATATGGGAATATTACCGAAAACGCCCATCATTCTAATAAAGACTGATCTATTTTAATGCTTGATAAATATTCTGAAAATATAAATCGTTACAATTATTATTTAAAAAGTCAAATAGCCGCATTACAATCTTATAACAGTTGTATTTTTGTTGTTTTTATACAATGAACTAGTCACAACTCTCATAGATCATTCTAGATTATTCGTTACATGGAACAGCGAAGATTCTTAATTAATTTACCTAATCTAATCAACACCATAAGAAATTATACCTGTATACTTTAATAAATTTTGCGTACATTATTATTATTATTACCGGGTAAGTAATAGTGAGGTTAGAGACAGTGTATTAGGTAATGATGGTAAATCAGTAGATGAAGTCATGAATCTTCGTCGACTGAGATGGTTGAGTCACATGTTACGTATGCCTGAACACCGATTACCACGATGCGCTATGCTGACTGATATTGGCAATGGTTAGAAGATAGTTAGGGGCAACCAAACCAAAACGTAGCATCAGAGCTTGAAGTCACTAACTTGTAGTCTGAGCCATATTGGTAGATACAGATTACTTGGTTGGTGTCCGCGTGACTATCGTAACCAATGGTTGAAGACTCTGGGTGACATGGCTCAGAATCGATCACGATGGCGTAGGTGCATACACTCTTTATCTTCCCTTAAACTGTGAGATTAAGTTTGCTTCATATCTGTCTTTCTTCCTGTACTATATCCTTATATACAATTCTTTATATATTACCAACATTAAATTAACCACTTTTATGAATTCGGTGTTCATCTTGTTGTGCTAACGAGGTATGGCAACTTGGACCAATGCATAAATGTACCTGGTCCTACGTTATAGCTGATTGATTGACGCTGTATTATTATTTTTTCCTAAGAATAAAGATGTGAGAATTCGTATCAAATATCTTTAATAGAAAAAAAGAAAACTTACCACTTCAAACTTTACTTATTATCTTAGAAACGTTTAAGAAATAAATAGAGTAATGGTATGTCTAAAAAGAGCCACAACAAATTATGGTTTATTAAATTTATGAAACAAAGAAATACACATTTCTACAGAGTTCTAAACATGATTTATTTTGCTGAACTAAAAATTACTTGATCTCTTTAGACTGCTTTTATCTATTATGAAAATTCTCTTGAAGTTACTTAGTTTTTAAACACAACTTAATCCGAATATACTATTTATCAATAAAAGTATATATCAATAGACTATAAGGATGAAAGCTTACTATTGGAAATGTTATACCCCGAAGAGAATTATGAATGGTAAATTTTGAGGGCTATTTGTGGACCAATATGATATGTATATTTCCTATTGTATAATTGTTAAGTAACTAAACTATTCATATTCCTGTCCCTTATATTATAAGCTTTGTTTTGAGTTATGAATTATTACTATACGATCTACCATTCTTGAGTTACACCCAGTCTATTAATTACTGTCTCCCACATTCACGGTCACTTTGGACTGAGTCTTCGCAAATGTGATTTTCTATTTATTGATACGATGTTGTCTGTTCGATTAGTATATAAGCCCTTACTTACTTTACTTACGCCTGTTACCCCTCGTCGAGGAGCATAGGCTGCTCACCAGCATTATCCATCCAACTCTGTCCTGAGCCTTTCTTTCCAGTTCTTTCCAGTTACTATTCAGCCTTTTCATATCTGCTTCTATTTTTCGGCGTAATGTGTTCTTTGGCCTTCCTCGCTTCCGCTTCCCTTCCGGATTCCAAGTTAGGGATTGAGTCGTGATGCACATTGGTGATTTCCTCAATGTATGTCCGATCCACTTCCAACATCTTTTCCTAATTTCCTCTTCAGCTGGAAGCTGATTTGTCCTCTCCCATAAAACGCTGTTGCTGATAGTATCCGGCCAGTGGATGTTGAGTATTTTGCGTAGACAATTGTTTATAAATACCTGTACCTTCCTGATGATGGTCGTAGTAGTTCTCCACGTTTCAGCTCCGTACAGTAGGACTGTCTTGACGTTCGTATTAAAGATTCTGACCGTGAAATTGGTTGAGAGTTGTTTTGAGTTCCATATGTTCTTCAATTGTAGAAATGCTGCCCTTGCTTTGCCAATCCTCGCCTTTACATCTGCATCCGATCATCCTTGTTTATCAACGATGCTCCCCAGGTACGTGAATGTTTCCACCTCTTCCAGAGTTTCGCCATCAAGTGTGATTGTGTTGGTGTTCTCCATGTTGCATTTAAGAATCTTGCTTTTTCCTTTGTGAATGTGGAGGCCTATCGATGCGGAGGCTGCTGCTACATTTGCTGTCTTCATCTGCATTTGGTCGTGTGTATGAGAGAGGAGGGCTAGGTCATCTGAGAAGTCCAAATCATCTAATTGATTCTGATATGTCCATTGTATTCCGTGCTTCCCCTCAAATGTCGAAGTCTTCATAATCCAGTCAATCACCAGAAGAAAGAGAAAGGGGGAGGGTAGATAGCCTTGTCTGACTCTCATCCTTACTGAAAATACATCTGTCAGCTGTTCTCCATGCACGAATTTGCACTGTAGTCCATCGTATGAGTTTTGGATAATGTTGACAATCTTCGGAGGAACTCCATAGTGTCGAAGAAGTTTCCATAATGTTCTCCTGTCCACGCTATCAAACGCCTTCTCATAGTCAATGAAGTTGACGTATAGTGATGAGTTCCACTCAACTGATTGTTCAACGATGATCCGTAGTGTTGCAATCTGGTCTGTGCATGACCTATCTTTACGGAATCCAGCCTGATGATCCCTAAGTTCGGCGTCTACTACGTCTTTCATCTGATTCAGCAGCACCCTGTTGAAAACTTTTCCTGGCACTGATAACAAACTGATGCCTCTGTAGTTTTCACATTTGCTCAGATCTCCTTTCTTTGGTATCTTGATGAGATATCTTTCTTTCCAGTCCATTAGCACTTGTTCCTCTTCCCAAATCTTCTTGAATAGAAGGTGAAGCATGTTTGCAGTTATTTCAATGTATGACTTCAGTGCTTCTGCTGGTATATTGTCAGGTCCTGCCGCCTTCCCATTCTTGATTTGTCTGATAGCCATCTTGACTTCTTCGATCGTTGGTGGAGTGACATCTATTGGAAGGTCTGTGTGGGTTGCCTCGATGTTCGGTGGATTCAATGGAGCTGATCTATTCAGCAGTTCCTCGAAGTATTCTGCCCATCTTTTCCTCTGTTCTTGAATCTCAGTGATTGTCTTTCCTTCTTTGTCTTTGACTGGTCTTTCTAGTGTACTATATCTCCCTGCTAGTTTCTTCGTTGTATCATATACTTGTTTCATATTCCCTTCTCTTACAGCTCTTTCTGCCGTCATTGCTAGTTCTCCCATGTATTTCTGCTTGTCGGCTTTAATGCTTTTCTTCACTTCCCTGTTTGCTTCTGCGTGCTTTGCTTGTGCTTTGACTTTCTCTGCTCGTGTTCGGCTGTTGTTAATTGCTAGTTTCTTGTTCTTCCTTTCTCGAATTTTGTCCAGGGTTCCCATAGAGATCCATTCCTTGTGATGATGCTTCTTAGGACCAAGAACCTCCTGACACGTTGAAGTTAGTGCTTCTTTTATCCCTTTCCAGTTGTCCTCCAAAGTAGTTTCTTGTTCTTTCAGTAGATCCTGTAAAGCTTAGAACCTGTTGTTGAAAGTTATTTTGAATTCATGGAGCTTGTCAGTATCTCGAAGGAAGGCTGTATTGAACCTTTGTAGTGCTGTTTGTCCAGTTGTCCAGTGTTTCTTTAGCTTCAGTCTCATCTTGGCCACAACCAGGTGGTGATCTGCAGCTATGTCAGCTCCTCTCCAGGTTATCACATCTTCCATTGATCTTCGGAATTTTTTGTTGATACAGATGTGATCAATCTGGTTCTCTGTGGTGTGGTCCGGTGAGATCCATGTAGCTTTGTGTATACGTTTGTGTGGGAATATTGTGCCGCCTATAACCAATTTGTTGAATGCACATAGGTTTGCAAGTCTCTCCCCATTTTCATTTCTCTCTCCTAATCCATGTCGTCCAATTACATCTTCATATCCTGTGTTGTCCACCCCAACTTTAGCATTTAGATCTCCCATCAGGATGGTGAGGTCCTTTCGTGAGCACTTCTCTATAATTGATTGCAGCCTTTCATAGAACTGATCTTTATCATCGTCGTTGCTATCATTAGTGGGTGCATAACGTTGGATAATGTTCATTTTGATCCCTTGCTTGTTTGTTCTGAATGATGCTTTGATTATCCTGGGTCCATGAGATTCCCATCCCACAAGTGCATTTCGTGCTTCTTTGGACAGTATTAGAGCAACTCCCTGAGTGTGTGGAGCATTTTCCCCTTCATGACCGGAGTACAGCAGCATCTCTCCTGTACCTAGCCTTTGTTGTCCAGTTTGTGTCCAATGGGTTTCGCTGATTCCGAGTACTGCCAAGTTGTATCTTCTCATTTCCATTGCTATTTGGCTGGTTTTTCCTGTCTCCCACATTGTCCGGACGTTCCATGTACCTATAAAGAGTGTTGCTCTGGTTGTTAGAAGGTGCATCGGTCTCGTGACTTCCGAAGAATTTCGGCTTTCATCATGAGACGTCATAATTATTCCTTCAACTCCCAGGGCCCAGTATGCTTGAAATAAACGATTCATATTGCAGAGGCTGTTATTGGTATTCTGGACTTAACTGGTTGAGCCTGACAGATAGTAGGACCGACAAGTACTCTACACTGATCGTATATATTTCGTGTGTCATTGGTCCGATCAGTAAATCTCTGCTCTCTAATTGGCAGCATCGTCACCTCATATATAAAATAGGGTACTCAGGCATACAAGTTATAACAGGAAGCAATATAATTTGTTAGTATTATATAAGTTTATTCCCAAAATAAAACAACATTTTACAAATAGTTATTTAAAAAAGACTATCCATTTTCATAATTTGATACTAATTACATTTTCGCCTCGAGAGGTGGAATCGTGGATTCGCACTGCCGAGGAGTCCCACAATAGGATGAAATGTCCATTCAATGCTTCCATGTTTTCTATGGTGGTCTAGCTTCAATTCACTCATGACTTCAACTATATAATTACATTTTGTTGAAATCATTTAATTCATAGAAAAATGTCACAATAATTTTCTTTTTCTTTTTTCAATCCATAATTTATTCATAATTTTAATCTGTCTATTATTATGTTCTTTATAGTGAAGATGTTGATACAGAAATTGAGTAAGTCACTATGAACTGATATATTCTATCTGTTTTCTCCTATTAAATCTTATAATTAAAGAAATTATTCTATAAATGGAATAAAGGATTTGTGTGTATACAATCATTTGTAATCGTTTAAAGATCCCCCATCAAATATTAGTCTTTCAATAATTATAAAACCAAAAGATTAGGAAATTAAACATTAGTATTAGGCTTATATCATTCTATCTATGCCTGATTCTATAATTAACCATTTAATTTCTTGTATATTTATTCACCATACTTAACTTTTTGTTAAATAATATAAATAGAGACTAGCCTCCCAGGAGTTCTAGTGTAAAGCCATAAGCAGCAGAGTCCAACCATATCTGCTGTGAGACAGTTGTTTACCACAGACCACAGAAGTCTGTTTCTATAATTAACCATTTAGTTTCTAATTTCTTGTATATTTATTCACCATGCCTAACTTTTTTTGTTAAATAATATAAATAATGATAATTGACATATATTTGTTTAAAACAAAAAACAATGTATTGTATTGTATATTTAACTGTATATCTAACATAGTAACAATACGCTTGGAGATAATGAACATTAATGTATTTAAAACTAAAAAAATGTATTAACAATAGAATATACATCATATATATGTATACGTATAGGGGAACAGTAGTATTGTATTTCCTGCAATTAGTTCCCTTTATAAATTTAAATAAAGCCAAAACAGAAACAAACTTAAACCGGATCTATGTATTCAAAAAGAGACAGTGATAAACTTATTACTACCCTGGTAATCCATTTTTTTCGTTTTAGTCTTTTGGTTATTAGTTTTATTTTGGTTAATATTTAGTTTTGTATTATATTCCTCTTCCATTATCCAATTCTTAAACCACCCTTTCACTCACACATTTCCACTCACTTGTTTCTCTTAAATTATATGAATCCTCCAAATTCTATTCAATTATTACTTAACCCATCCTATTTGTTTTTAATTCCATGACTCCTTCATTACGTCTAAAATTATTACACATTTTATCTGTCTCTGAACTCCATTCAACTATTACACCACCCACCCTTTATGTTTCCTTTATTCTAACACCTAATAACCTCTGATTTGTTCTTTCATGTATATATATATATATATTATATGCCGAGGATAATTGAGCCAAATCATAATCAATAACGTGAATATATCAACACTTATCATCAACCATTTGGTCAGTATTACTTCAAATCTTCTGAGATCTGAAGTGAACATTTTATCAAGATCGCCCGTTAACTAGAAAATCATTGAAGTTTAAGCGTCACTGAATAACGTTTTCATTTATACCACAATTAGAACCCGATAAAAACTAGGATTTTCTACTTTCAGATTCTATAGTGAGTATGATATATATCAACCAGTGAATCTTGACTCAAAGGAGCTTACTTTAGAAGATGTGTTACAATTATTAAATTACATCTGTACTACCTGTCTTGTTCCTGGTCAGATTGAACTCCTGTAGTCATGACTTTTCACATGAACTAAATTTCGGTCGAAATCCAGACAATAACTAGTAATTCGCTTACTTTGATGTTTTAGAAAACGATGTTTTGTAAGCTATGAAAAAATTGTTTGTTCATCGACTTTTACTATTCCTCTGATTAATATTAGTCAACGACCAAAGTCAAATTTCACATAAACGATCTCCTTAAACAATAGGCTCCCGCATCCATCTTATCATCAAACATTTTACCATTGTTTATTCATAAACAAAGTAAAAATTGTTTCATACATCTCCACTCTCCGTATTTTCATTCAGTTATGTATGAAAATCATAATTTTTGTTCCTATAAAATCATTCTCTTATTTGAATTCACTTTGACAGTGATCTAATTGGTGAATTTAATACAACTGTTAGTCGTTTGTTGAACAGTAATGAAAATGGAATTGAATTTCAGGTAATGTGAAACTTTTTTAAATTGTTGCATATATATGTATATATATATATATATATATATATATATATTCTATCCAATGTCAGTTGATATCATTCTTCTTTTAAAGATAGATTTGCACATAATTTAAATTACTGACTGGTTTTATTTACATCACCATCGAAAATCAAAAAGCCTTCGACAATTATTTCGTCCCAGTATATGCATCAACAATCTCTTCACATATCAAACTCAGGACGTCTAGCCGCCCAAATAAACAACTAATCTCTAGATCAATGACCACGAATCCGATTATGATTAGTGGAGTCCAACTATATCAAGTGTAAGACAGTTATTCACAACAGCAATGATAGATAGTTGCTCAATATTGCTAAACGACTGAAGTTAGATAAATATATGATCGGATTTCAGATCATTGATCTGTGGGTTAACCTCTTATCATGAACCCGAAAGACCTGATCCTGGTCCCTGACGGTGTGGTCGTGGATACACACTGTCGAGTAGTCTAATAATAAGCCAAAATGTGTGTTTAGTGAGTGCTGTTTTCCAATTGCCTAGCTAAGATTAGTCCGTTCTTGAAACTATGTAAATATAACCACCTCCAAAAATTTTTCTATACTAACAGAAGATATATAACTTGCTAGTTATTTTCACTTCTTATTCCATTAATCTATTGTTCATATAACAATTAATTACAAAATTAAGTAGAATGCATAACAAAACTTGTTCAGATTATACTTATGATTGTGTTTTCTTTCAGTTACCTCATTATTTTTTTATCTGTTTCTATGCCTTTTTTCTCCTTCATTTGATCATAATGTAATCATCTTATTTTAGCAGTTTAAAGATCCCCATAGAATATTCAAAAATGAAGAATATTTGAGCGAACAATTTATTTTATTCATTTTTTAAAAATACATAGAATAGAAGTACATTGAACCGATGAGTCCTTATTAAGATTGTAATAAGTATCGTAGGTATCACGTAACAAATATTACTAGAATAGTTTACTTATTAAATAAAATGGATTCATTTTGTGATCAAATACAATCCATAATGAGATGTTTAAAAATAGGAATCAATTCGTAACAAACCTTTTTTTTCTAAATATAATTAAAAATTACAATAATCTAGCTTCAATTGACTTATGATTTCAACTATATAAAAAAATCACTAAAAATCTTCACAAAAAACAACCTCATATCATATGCTCACTAGTGACTGGCTCCATGAGGTATTTCCTGGAGTTCTAGTGAGAAGCAGTGATCAGTGAAGTTCAACCAGATCTGTTGAGAGATAGTAACTCACTGAAGACATTGGTGAATGGTTGCTCAATTTCGTGGATTGACTGGAGTTAGACGTTAACACTGTTGAATGGCGGCTCAGTGGTCTAGAGGTTAAACGCTCGTGCGCGAGACTGATAGGTCCTGGGTTCGAATCTCTCGAAACGGGATCGTTGATGCGCAATGCTGAGGAGTCCCAAAAATAGGACGAAACGGCCTTCCAGTGCTTTCAGGTTTTCCATGGTGGTCTAGCTTCAACTGACTCATGATTTCAACTATATATAAAAAATTACTAAAAATCTCCACACAAAAAAGATAATCAATCAGAAAAAATATTCTCATGATGCATAAAATAGATGAAATAGAAACACTTCATTGTAGTTCAGATCAGTAGTTTCGTATTCACTTCTATTCATAAATACGTTAGATTTAAATTGATATATTGAGATTATTCATTTTGTATCTATCAGATTATTTGTATTTTACTTATTTTCAACATTTATCTCTTGATTCTAACATAACTACTATAGTACTCACCATTCATGAAAATATTTTGTTAGTTCTTTCTTCCTTTCTTATATATTATACAGCGTAGCAACTACTTAATTTTCAAATAATCACTTTGATTCTTAGTAATCCTCTTTCTTCCAATTACTCAATATTAGTTTATGATTGATATGTCATTATGTGGTTATTACGTAACGCATCTACTCGATGAGTATTACTTCATTATTGCAAATCATATATATATATATATATATATATATATATATATATATATATATATATATATATATATATATATATATATATATATATGAAGTTATTTAACTACAAATTCAAACATGTGTTCCTCACCTGAAGATTTAAAAGTTTAACATCCAAGTTCTCTTTGTATGCATGATCAAGAACTGAAAAGAATTCTGTATTTAGAAATATCAAAGGTATTTAGAATTAGTCGACCTTCAGCAATAGAACTAACGTCAATTTAAAATGAATATTATATTCAGATATACTGATTAAAGTCATATAGTCAATTGGTATTCTATATGTAATATAGTCTCACCTTAGAAACTAAATCTAACTGTTGGATAGTAGGTCACGATCATATTTTTCTTAAAAGCTTTAAACTAAAAGAAAATTGTTATCAAGTTTACTTTAATTCCATACACAATGGAGGTTTGAATTTTCGTATGGCTAAAGCTTCAATAAACCTTAGTATACGCCCTTTTACACTTTTATACAACACGACAAAAGCTGAGTTAAGATCAATCTTATGGCCTGTTTCGCTTATGTATTTGGCAACAGAGAATGATGGATGTTTATCATCTACTCTTATCGGGTCATTTGATTCTATTTGTTTCTGCAACCATTTTGGTGGTACATGTTCACACACCCTAATTTTTAGATCACGATTGCTCCTCCATATGTATGTGTGACCACACACACACATTTAAATTGATAAACACAGTGGGATGTCTTTTAGGTTTTGAATGAAGTATGGACCTCATTCTTTCTTTGATAATGACCTTCACTGCACAATACGTTTTGTTGATGACTGGTTTAAGCCTATTCTCCAGAGTGATTAGGTTTCAAATTGTTTTCACATTATTTTTATTATTATTATCCTTGTCTACACTTACCTCTCCCATTTCCAGTCTGGTTGACCTTTTATTCTTATATATATAAATGTTCTTAACAAGTGTATTATGTGTGATCGGATTGTTCGAAATGTATTGCGCTAATATATCATCACATAAATTCATCTAGTGTTGTTTGTTTGAATCTTCCCATCGATGTGTTAGGACTGCAACTGGTCAGTTTCTAATTGGCATATGAGCATACTATGCGTATTGCCTCGATATAGCCTTAACTCACAAGCATTGTAAGCAAAGATGGATAGTGGCTAGCAGTGGAATCCAAGAAGCGCGTTTCGTCCTATTTGGGACTCGTCAGCTGGATGTACCTGCATCTGAGTTGATGTTCACTCTGGGACTCGAACCCAGTACTGTTCTCTTCAAACGCCATCGCGTTATCCACTCGGCCACTGAAGCGAGTGTACTGGGTTCGAGTCCCAGAGTGAACATCAACTCTGAGATGCAGGTACATCCAGCTGACGAGTCCCAAATAGGACGAAACGCGCTTCTTGGATTCCACTGCTAGCCACTATCCATCTCTGCTTATCATCACATAGTTCTGATAATCTTCGTCTTCTTTAGACACTACCGAAAATCATCAAAGGGTCTAATTGCTTTTTTTTTATAAAAAAAAGAACAATCCCTATATAACTTGACTCAGCCCAATCACTGAATGGATTATATATATACCAAAAAAGTCGCTCATTCTACTTTATCCTTAGGATTCATCATCATAGAATCTAATGAGAAGTTTCTAGAAGATTATTTTCTTTATTATTTTATATTGTCCAGTTTAATGAGACATTTTTATTAAATTTACCGATTCATTAACTTAACTAATCCAATAAAATGTATAAATAAATAAATTACTATTGTTTACAATCTTCAAAAAAATGCAAAAAAAATGTCACAGATTGCACATTACATTAATCAAAATAATAAGCTAGTCTAAATTAGATAACAATGAAACAAAATGGGCTTCTTTTTCATATTTGTTTTCTTAATTTCGCTTTCATTCGCCGTCAATACATTATTAGTATTATTTAATCTTTCATTTATTGTATTCTTTGCGCTGAATTCTCCTTGATTAATCTTCTCATTATAATTATTGTTATCAGTTTAGTTAAGTAAGGTTTATGCAAATAAATGAAAATTACTAAGTTGTTTTTAACCTGTTTTATCAAAGGAATAAGGATAATAAACATGCATATATGAACCTTACGAGAAAAGATAAAGGCCAATTTGTGTTTTGAATAATCCTCTGTTAAGGATATTGGTTAGAGGTAACTGACCTGAATAACTTAGTAGTAACAGTTTTAACTGTAAAGCGGAGGGATGCGGAATTGAACTTTCCAGGAAGTATCGGTTCCCTCAAGATAACAAGTATACCTTGTTGATGTTTGCTGAATAACAAAAAATTCATGTCTTGAGCATCATGTCAACTACACCCAATAATTATCTTGCACCTAAATATAGTGCACGCGATGTTAAGTTACATGGACAAGGTGCCATGTTTTGTACCAGCTATATATATATGCTAAAAAGACTGATCGAAATCCCAAACGAGATGATTCCCAATTAGATCTTTTAGAATAATGACATAGAACATTACTAATTTCCACAAGTTAAATAATTAAGTTAAATAATTATAAAGTGGTTTATTTCCCCCAAAATAATTCATTTCATATTAGACTTTAGTCAAAAAGTATGACATAATATCCAATTACCAATCGTTAAATACTTTACATACACATGATTTATGAGTCAAAATACATTTTACATTCAATATAACAATAATAGTAATAATTTTATAATTAATAAGCTTGAAAACAGTTTATTTCTTGAGTCGATAAACTGATTAGCTTAATAATAGGCAGAAATAGTTATTGTATAGAGAAAAGGTTCTATTAAGTTATACTCAATTAATACCTAAGTTGGATGTCGGCCCACTAGTCAAGAGGTTAAGCGCTCGCGCGCAAAACCGAAAGTCCTGGGTTTGGATCCCACGAGCGTAATCGCGGATGCGCACTTTAGAGTGGTTCCATACTAGGACGAAACGGCTGTCCAGTGCCTCCAGGTTTTCAACGATGGTCTAGCTTTAACTAACTCATGAACTCAACTATTAAATATTTGTTTAACATGGATGTTAAAGAATTAGAACTCCTATATTTATTATCACTCCCTCATTATCCTTTCCTATGAAACATTATTACAATTAGAGATTTTAACTATTTAAATTTATATTACCTGATTAGTATTGTTATGGCAACAAAGTAAATATTTTCACTATTTTTTGTATAATATTCATGTGGTCTTATTATGACAACTGCAAATTATCATCTAACGACTAAAAAGTGCCCGTTTTTTAATCATCATTCAGAATGATACATTGTATTGGTTAATTAAATTTTGATTGATTTAAAATCCTTCTCTACTAATGACCATTCCAATCGAAACATTTATATACAGTTTTTGCAATTGCATTCTATGATGTAAAATTTATGGGTCAATAATTATAATGCAAGGTCATTAAAAAACAATTATTTATTCAACCTTGTATGCCCTTAGCTATACGATTATCGTGAAATACGATGGTCAATTTAGATACGCTAACTTATTTGACAAAACTAATGACGGATACGGTAGTACGAGCAGTCTAGATTTCTGATTGATCTTTTTTCCGTTTAGATCTGCCAGTTAAGTCCAGAACGTCAATCTCAGCCTCCGCGTATATTCCAAACATACTGGGTTTATATACAAACAAAATAAGACCACATCACACCATAAAATATAAAATAACGTATGTACAAGATCTGGCCAAAAGTGGCTGTGATTGTGAGAACTGTTACTAATAAATTGGGAATATCTCAAGAATAATAAATCGTATAATAATAGTCAGTAAGACAAATAAAAGCTTATAAAGAAAGGAAAATGAATAAACATATAATATAGTTACATAATAGTTATACAATAAGAATGAATTCACTTGGTATTGTTTGGTTGAATCTTCCCATTGATGCTTAGGACTGCAATTGTCAGTCTTATTGGCATATATGCATACTGTGCGTATTGCCTTGATATAGCCTTCATCCATGTGCATGATAAACAAAGATGGACAGTGGCTAGCCGTGGAATTCAAGGCGCGCGTTTCGTCTTATTTAGGACTCGTCAGCTGGATGTATCTGCATCTCAGAGTTCAGTTCACTCTGGGACTCGGACCCAGTACCTTACGCATAAAACGCCATCGCGTTATCCACTCAGCTACTGAGTATAATACTAATCTATAAATAATTTCTAACAGTTACTATTTCTTTATTTCCCTCCGAATACAACACAATTACTCTTCTTTTTTTAATGTAATATAAGAAATTTTAAACTACTTGCCAAAAACTATAAGTAATAAGTGATAATTACTACTCTTTTCATTCGTTTTTAATTAACTCAAAGCAATTTCATCAGTTCTCAAAGTTAATAAATAAATCAATATTTAAAGTTATCAATCTACAATATACTTTAATTAAAAGAAGTAATTATTCTGATTGTAATAAAAAAATTATATTTGATATTAGTAAAATATACAACCTCAACCTGAAGTTTGTGCTGATAATGTCGTTCAGAAGAACGATGAAAGCTCCACGACCAAATCATCCAGCTCAGAGTATATATCATTTCCTGATAAAATAAAAACTACGTTTAATCTATACAAATCCCTTTTCAAATAATTCATTAACATGAGTATTCCATCAAATATCTAAATTAATAAATTTTGAACAAGTTATCTAATACATAAAACTTCTCATATAATCAACATGTATTTTCTTATTCAATAAATATTATTAAAATGAATTTCATTTTAATAATATTTATTTTATCCTATGATTATATATTTATATTTATACATTTTGAAATTATTCAATGTTCCGTTCTTTTTGATTTCTATTTTTTTTCCCGCTAAATAGTTGATTAATATGCCGAAGAAAAAACGAAAAAAATGTTATCAGAATTCTGGTCTAGTAAGTTTATGTAATATTTGTATTTTTACACACACACAAACACACCCAAAAACACATACATACATACATACATACATACAATAATTGCATTCATGTTAGGTTGGTTAATTTTTTGGCATGTAGTGCAAATTTTTATTTAACAAAAAAAGAAAGTAAGACTCAGTAATTATTATATCAAAAACAAAATGTTAACAGTTTTATTTTCTATTGAAAATATTGAGAGAAAAATGTAAATTATTAGTTCAAAGTTGCTTTTGTTGTGTTATCAATTTTCTATCACCTATGGAGTAAACATGCTGAGAAAAAAAATGAGAATACATAACTGGTGTTTAATGATGCTTAGTTTTTTCATAGTTTAAATTATAAATTGATTTCAGTTAGACTGTGATTGAAAAGCTGAAACTAATTGACGAACATTTAGTCTTAGCATGGTACTCCTCAGAGTTATTAACCCATGATGTTGCATCTGAAAATCGAACTTTGGATGTTTCGTTTAGCACCTGAACGTCGAACTCCTAGACTACTGGTGTTTCCATTTTACTCATACGTTAAGTCTGAATTTCGAAGCAAATTAAACCGTTATGCAACTATATGACCTTTTCCAGAGAATTAGTAATTCAATAAAAATAAGTTTGTTTTGTATTATTAATAATAAGAGCTTGGATTACTCAGTTGCTAACATTCAGGACTGAATTTTAATCATATTTCCTTGACATATAATCATCCTGCTTGAAATATCTCAATATAGCCATTTTATGACAAGTTTTTAAAAAAATATTGATCATAACGTCGTATTTGGAAGTCTTAAGCTAGATAGACATACATCTCAGTGTTTGTAATTGTCTTGAGGTATTCCTAATAAGATCTAGACACATCAGAAAGTATCGATCAAAATTTGAACCTGAAAATTAACGAGATCATTTAAACTCTTTCTAATAATTATACAAAGATCATACATATTGAACAAAACATCGGTTATCAGAACTTAGTGGCTCGATGGATGAACAAATGCCGTTTGAAGCAAAAACTACAGAGTTCAAGTCCTAGTGTGAACATTAATATTAAGATATCAGTGCACTTCTATATAGAGCCTCGAAATAGCACAAAACATTCGTTCTAGATCCCAGCTCTAGCCATAATCTGTCTATTCTATTGGCGCTATTTATTTCTTTTTGACACATATCGTGTTACATAATATTCGCATAAAGTGATCCATGAATTAGGATTAAATAAATACCTGTCGCCTGTAAATTAAAATATACAGTAAATGACCTGAGAATTAAATGAACCATTAATTGGTACATCCTTCATTAATCATTACTATATATATATATATATATATATATATATATATACGTTTGCTTCCTTCTGAGCAAAAGGCACTTTCAATAGTCTATATATGTTTTCATTCAATTACAAACTCCCTATGGAATAGATAAAAAAGATTGTAAGTTAACATTTCTTTTCATCATATGTATTAATAGCAACAAAAAAATATATTCTCTATTTTCTTTTTTTATGATGGGAAAAAAATTGAAAAATAAGATTTTTCAAAATTTTAAGGTCATTTTAAGCTCCTTTTTTGTTTGTAAGTCAACAAATAAACCTCCTTTCATTGTCCATCTATGTAACTAGTTCAACTTCACAAAAAATCCACCCAAAAATAAAATTAGATTTAAATAAATAGAGGAAACTTAATTATCACTTTTGATCAAAATTGTAAAACAGTAAAATTACACTTTCATTTTATTCATGATAAAAGTCATATTACTATTATTATTATTCATTGTAATTGTTCAATATATATATATCTCTTTCACGCACTTACACCTATTTTCTCTCCTTCTCTCTCTCTCTACCTACCTACCTACCTACCTCCGACACTTTTAATTAACCTTAACATTAAAACAAACAATATGAAATGCCTCTTTAAAATTCTATCCATTTGCAATTGTATCATTCATTTTATTAGGTTTTAAAATAAAGGTGATAATCACCTAATTACCTCCATCGTGATATTCACCTTTAATGTATATATATATGCGGTCATATGAGTAACGCCTTTGCAAATTTTCCTTACCTTATCTGATGATAAATACAAATAGATTACTCTGGTAAAAAACATTATCAAATCATAAGGCAAACTGTTGCTATTTACTTAAGCTGTAAAAAAATTTATATATTGATAAATGAATTTAAAAATAAGATTGTAAATTGTCCACCATGAGGATTTTATTGTTCTACTTAACCATTCTTTATATTGTAGCTGTAAATAATTCCCCAAAATCAATAGCTTTGTAAGTGTTCGACATTGGATGCTGACCACATCAGTTTTAGCGGACTTGTTTAGCTGAAGGCGTTCGGTCATGCATCCGCACCAGATTAGATCAACCGCTTCTCGATATATTGATGACGCATCAAAAATATCTTTCCAACCTCTTCGTTTCTGACTTCTGATTTTAACTGACTGGGGAACGATTCGATAATAGATGTTACTGATTAATAGTTGTCAAACTACAATACTGGTGGTATCTTCAATATATATATATATATATATATATATGGCGCGAGACAGGAAGATCCTGGGCTCGAATCCCGTGAGGCGAGATCAAGGATGTGCACTGCTGAGGAGTCCTATAATAGGACGAAACGGCCTTCCAGTGCTTTCAGGTTTTCCAAGGTGGTCTAGCTTTAATTGACTCATGATTTCAACTATGAAAATTAAAGAATCAATGAAAATCAGGGAACATGTAACAAATGTTTTGTTTGATTGAAGAATTCATCAATCTTTTAATTAAAGTTATCGTTATCGTAGTTTAATCTTCGTCAATAATTATTTTGTCTATCGTTTTATTTTCCTTTCGATTAGCTTACTGTAAAATTATATTTTGCTCAATCGAAATTTTCATTTCTCGATTATATATTTGGCGGGTGAGTTAACTCATTTTTAAACAGAATATATCAATGTGTAGAATAATTTTGTGATGATTTTTCTAATTCAACTTATCTGAAAAGTCAAATTGTAATAGACTCAATAAAAAAACTATCAGTAGGGGGTTTTTGTGGATATTATAGTAATTTTAATAGTTGAGATCATGAGTCAGCTGAAGCTAGACGACCATGGAAAATCTGAAAGCACCGGACGGCCGTTTCGTCCTATTGTGGTCTAGCTTCAATTGACTCATGATCTCAGATATTAAGAGAAAACTATACTTGTGTATTATATTTTAAATTTTTATAAACTATTATCGGCGTAAATTTCAATAACATTTGTCCTGTAAATTATATCATTATCCAAAAATATTACCTATAAACTAATCTGTAGTGTCGGTTACTACGTTAAGCTCACATAGCTTATTCCAGCTTCTGGACAGGTCAATTTATTCAACCTTCTTGAGACATATTTTGATCTTGTTAATTATTCGCTTACTAACCTTGCTTATTTTTATATAAGCGTATGTGGGTACATTTTTTTTATGCTATTCATCACATGTCTGTAACTTATTTCTATCCGATTAACGATTGATTAAATTGCGTTGCCTCACTCACCTTCTCCATCGAGCGTCATTTAGTTCCGGCCCCTCTCTCTTTTTCGCTTTCTGTATTCCGTCTCCCCGATTGTCTGTGCAGATCAACAACTGTACGAAATAAACGAATTCAAAACTACATTCTCGTATTTGGTTTATATAATTCCGTTATTCACTAACGCGAGTTAATTCGATAATTATCAATGTTAATGTGAGCTAGCCAACTAAGCTCAAGTCTTTGAAATGATTTAATGTTGACGGTAAACTGATATCAACTGAAGAATTTTTAAAAGCCATTAAGTATTAAACAGTTGTTTCGTCTTGGTTTATACCTAATTAGTTATGCTGTAGTGGCCTAAATCTGATTCCTTTTTGACCGTACGTACTGTCTATCCTCGTATGTAATAAATGACTTAATCCGCGTTGATGAACAACGGAGTTAAATAAGTACGAGAATGGATTTAAAATACATATATTTTCCACACTCATTGATCTGGCCAGGGAATCAGAGTGATGAAGCGAATAGATGCGAGCGAAACATAAATGACACGCATTGGAGATGGCTGGGAAGCCAACTCGAGAGCGAAGCAAAAATAATGAGTATTGGAGATGGCGGGGAAGCCAACTCGCTATGAGCGAGCATTACTCAATATTTATAATCAGGCAAAAATGAGTGACAGACATATGACGGATAAGATACGAAGTGTGCATACACATGCGCTCATATAAAAAAAATAGTCAAGGTTAATAAGCGAATAGTTAACAAGATCAAAATATGACTCATAATATATAGGTGAATTGGCTTGGCCAGTAGCTAGAATAAAGTATATGGGCTTAACATATAAACTGATACTACAATGCATACCAATAACTTTTAATTAGTTTTTCATCATGGTTCTACACTTATATATATATATATATATATATATATATATATATATATATATATATATATATATATATATATATATATATATATATATATATATATATATAGTAGGGACTGGCGGCCTACTTAAACATCTAGGTTACCTGATCCTGTCATCTATACATTTCAACAAGTCATCTAATTTTGTTTGCTTTAATACATCATTATGGCTATTAATCGCACAACCTATTCAGGTGCGTTTCTGAAAATTGCACAATCTTTCGCTGTAAAAGTTACAAAAGGCCTGATCAGAGATATCGTGGTTGCTGACATTATGCAGCGAAGGTATTGTGCATTATTCAGATATCGATTTACTGGACTTCTAACTTCTAACTGGCGTTCACTCAGTATTTATGGTCAGGATCGACCAAGAAGTAAGAAATGGAAACTTGTTGATATACTTTGTGCTGAGAATTCTGTATTGTACCAAAATATAATATTGAATAAAGCTAATAATTACATATATGTATATATATGTTAACTTCATTGTGTGATTTTGAAACAATATGAAATCCAAGTAACAGATGACAGCCGAATATCATTCAATCAATACATATTATTCTGCACAAATGTTCACTCTTAAGAAAAAGGAACAATGTACATGATATTTTTTATACATGAATTGTAAAGATAATAAAATTACACAATTTCTTTGGGTTTGGATAACTTGGTGATAATGATAATACAATTTTACAATTGACTATAAAAGTACTATTGAATTATTAACAAGGGAATTAGAAAGAAAAACGATCGACAATGATCATATGATAATCCATGTAATTTAATATAATTTGCAATGATTTTACTTTTAAGTATTAAATTCACATTCATACTCGATGTACAAATGAATGACTATCTGATTTTAATAATTAAGTGGATAATGCATCACTATTTAAGGTGAAAAGTGCTGGGTTTGAATCTCGTAGTAGTGACCCACTGTAGAATGCGTCTCGAACGGAACAAAAAGAGCGTGCTGAATTTAACTACAGGCCATATTCAATCTCCATTATGTAAATAAATGTAATTATTTGACATATGATATTTACCAAAAAACTAATCTACAACAGTTTATTATGTAATTCAATTTGATAAATTGTATAGTAAGAGTCACTAAACATTATAAGATATTGATCAGACGTTTTCATCATGATGAATTTTACGAAAACTGATTGGTGCTAAATATTGACTGAAGTGAAAATCTTTTGAAATATATATATTGTGGTCCTATTATTTCTCTTTAAATAAATAACATCTAATCTTCATCTTATGTGTTATTTAATTGATTAACCTCTGAGTAAGAGCCAGTATTCTGTTAGCCTGATCTAATGTGATCAGTAATCTCAATTACATAACATCACAGAACACTATGTTTCTGTATAAGACAACCGTCCAGTGCTTTCAAATTTTCCATGATGGTCTAACTTCAATTGACTCATGATGTGAACTATTGAATTACTATAATATCTATAACAGCTCCTTCTGATATTAATCTTGTTTTTAACAGAGATTTTTCGCCAATTAATATTTGTTAACAAAGCCAATCTAAAATCATAGAGTAACTAATGTTTCTAATTCACATTAACTTTGTCGTAATCAGAAACTGTACCATTGAATTATTCAACTCACGATTAGTGATCATATTAAAACTGTAACCATGAGTAATATACAAAATTTACTTAAATAGTATCATCATAAGGGGTTTTTGTGGAGATATAGTATTTTCGTAGTTGAAAGCGTTAGTCAATTGAAGCTAGACCACTGACTTTAAGAGGTAAATCCAGGAGTTTTAGTGAGAAGCAGTGACCAGTAGAGTTCAAAAAACGTCTGTTGTGAGATAGAAACTCACTGAAGACAATTGGTGAACGGTTGCTCAACTTTGTGGATTGGTTGGAGTTAGACATAAACACCATGGGATGCCGGCTAAGTGGTCTATCGGTTAAGTGCTCTGGGGCGAGACTGGTAGGTCCTGAGTCCAAATCTCACGAGGCGGCCTCGTGGATGCGCATTGCTGAGGAGTCCCATAATAGGACGAAACGGCCATTCAGTGCTTCCAGGTTTTCGATGGTGGTCTAGCTTCAATTGACTCACGCTTTCAACTATTAAATAGTATCCATTGTTATATCTTTATATAAATTCTGATTACCTAAATATATAATTTAATTGTAACCTAACAATTTTCCCATATCATTCTTTCATTTATTTTCCATATACATATACACTTTATTTTCACAGGTTATCTTAATCTTTTTTGAATATGATGACTGACATTAGACTAATAATATAAGACGTAATACACGGTCATTTTTTTCTTTTCATTTCTGTTTATATGTACAGAGATATGTATAGCTATAAATATATATATATATATATATATATATATATATATATATATATATATATATATATATATATATATAGCTTGTTTGTTTAATCTTTTAGTCAGTATAATCGGTATATTATTCAAATGACCTCATTATATGAACGAATATCTTATTCTATGTATCAGGTTTCTTCCTGTTTTCATCGGTATATACAAACATTATCATTATCCTGATTCTTATCTAAAAGGCATTAGTATTATTATCAATTTCTAGATGTGTATGTATATTTATTTGTAAGGTAATCAACTTATCGTTTTGTCATTATATTACTTAAAATATGATTTAGTAAACTTATCTGGGAGGATTATTCTAATAAATCATATTAGTCAATATTCATTATTTGTCAATCTTCTCATCTGTTATTTATTTCAGTTGATATGTGTACGGTCAACAACAACAACGACAAAAAATGTTGTTGTGTATTTCTTATAGATGATAATCAATGAGCTGTTTAATATTTTATGATATAATTTGTTAGTCAGAAGGAGTTTTATGGAGATTTCAGTATTTTTCATAGTTGAAATCATGAGTCAATTGAAGCTAGATCACTATGGTAAACCTGCAAGCACTGGAAGGCCGTTTCATCCTATTATGGGACTCCTCAGCAGTGCGCATCCACGATCCCGCTCAGCGAGATTCGGACCCAAAACTTACCCGTCTCGAGCCAGAGCACTTAACTGATAGACCGAGACTGGTAGGCCCTCGGTTCGAATCTCGCTGAGCGGGATCGTGGATGCGCATTGCTGAGGAGTCCCATAATAGGACGAAACGGCCATCCAATGCTTCCAGGTTTCCGATGGTGATCTAGCTTCAATTGACTAATGATTTCAACTATGAAAAACAATTTGATAGATTTTTATTCATATTGAATAATATCTAAGTGTAAAATGTAGGAAGAATGTTTTCAATCTATTTGGAGGATTCGTCACTGACATCAATCTGCGTCTCATTGTTAGTGTTCACAGTTAAGTGTAAAGTATTGCGTTCAAATCTCAATATGAATATCACTACTACTATGTAGGCGAATTCAACTGATCTGTGACAAAATAGGGCATAACACTGATCCAAAATTTCATTTTCAGCCACTTTCCAGCTTTATTGAAAGCTTGTAACTAAATGATAATATCTATACAATCTGTGCAAGATAAGCATATACCATTAGAAATGGACTAATCCCAGTTTATAACATTAATAAAACGAAAATACAGATCCTTATAAATGCCACCTAATCGGAAATCATGATGTACTGAATGAAAGAAACTGGTGTATTGAAAGTGATATTCATGTAGAAATGTAAAGAACTTTCTTTTAAAATAACATTCAATTGGTACTTTTTTTCAAATTACTTTCTTTACAATGTTGTTATTTAATCACGCGTATTTTTTAAAAATTAAATATTAAGATTGTTAGGCTAGAAATAACTAAAGCAAACAAACTTTATTTTAAAATATCCTCAAAATTTTCTCATTGGATTACAACAAATGAATTTGTATTAAATCAACCTTTTTTTTCACTTTGATCATTTTTACTACTGAAATAATTAACGAAATTATGTCAAGTAAAATATTTTTAAAAAAATGTTTATAGAATTAGTGTAAATGTGTGTCTGTAAGTGTAGTAGTATACTAATTTGAATGCTTTGAAAATATATCGCCTCAAGGGGAGAATAAATGTCCGAATCTGGTTTTATTTAATTTAAACAATTAAGGTAGATCGTTGTTAAATAGGAAACATTTTTAGCTAATTAGATCCATTGGGATTTTATCTAACTTTGTATGTTACATCTTTGTAAACTATGGGAACGTATACAAAAACTGATGACAATAATTAATAACATTTTCAAAAAGTTTCAAATGAATTTATTAAGGGTAATAATACAGAAAATCTTGTCCGTGATCATTGAAGCTAATCCGTGTCAGGTAGAGACAGGTATCCACTTCAGACAATAGAATATTATCGTACAATATCATGTATTGGTTGAAGTTAGACATTAATACAGTTGGATGTTGGCTCAGGGGTTTGGAAGTTGAGTGGCCGCGCACGAGACCGAGGGTCCTTATTTCGAATTACGCATGCGGAATCGTAGATGTGCACAGTTTAGGAGTCCCATATTAGGACGAAATGGTCGTCCAGTGTTACCAAATTTTCCATGGTGATGTAACACTGATCGACTCATGATCTCAATCATAAACTTAACAATCTCTACAACCTCATACTGATATTCCTATACTTTAAAAAGAAATTACGCGAAAGAAAAAGATCCTAGTCACAATAACGATAAGATTAATGACTAAATGGTTAAATTATTCTGGTTTGAAAACTTTTCAACAACGGTTAACACTATCGACCACAAGTGTGGAGGTGAGAAACCACAATCTAGTTAGATTACGAGGGTCATTATCTTAAATCCAACTTGATTGAATTCATGAATTATCAAAGAATGTTGTGATGACCTTGAAAGGTCTCTCCGTGAAGCTAATTATCATTGATACAATACTCAACAGTGATGAATATGATCGGTGCATTTAGAGAAATTCGAAAACATTGGCAATGACTGACAACACCTTAAACTTTAGCAAATCCTTATTTGTTGTTCTTGCACTGGTAACAACATTTGTTTTGAAATGTTCTAGTTGCCGATTAGAATTTGCTCCCAAAATCTGGAGGCTCAATTAAAGCATTTTTTAGAATAGTTATTATTCAGCATTCTATGTTCATCCCAATGTACCTGCTAATCACTTATTTTTTCTGTCTGAAAGTTGAAAACTATGGATTGTCTACTGTAAACTGTTAAATGCTATATTCACAGTATTATTTGTTTGAATCGTCCCATTGATGTTTAGGACTGCAACTGGTCAGTCTCGAATTGGCATATGTGCATACTGTGCATATTGCCTCAATATAGCCTTAATTCACAACTCTGAGGTGCAGGCACATCCAGCTGACGAGTCCCAAATAGAATGAAACGCGCGTCCTGAATTCCACTGTTAGCCACTATCCATCGTTGCTTACAATGTTAAATGTTATATTTCAAATGATTGTTAACTAGTATAAATAGAAACCATGACAGAAATAATTATACACTGTTCTACAATATGAATCGATAAACTCTACAGTGCAACTGATTATAAACAATGTAAAAATCAGATCATTTTTATCCCATATAAACATAATACACATAGTTCCTGTAGTTATCTTGAAGGGAGCAAGAATAAACCTTCAACCAGAATAACACGAATTCATTTGATTTCATCAAATTCTTGTCATTTGCTTACAGTTGATAGTTTTTTTGGAATCATACACATAAGTCAATATATTTATATAAGTGCAGTTGATGAGAAATTAGTTTGGTTCATCATAATGAAGCAAAAATTCATAGACAGTAAGTTAAAATGCTTTTTAATGCTTCTAAATGAATACAATGTGCAAGGGAGGATCCTTGAACATCAGAATACTGAATAAAAACTAAAAACCTAGAAAATTAGTTGATTACATAACAATATAGCTAAGCATAAATTAATGATAATTTAGCATAATACGATTTGAATGAGATCAATCGGTTAAAGATATAATTATAAATTTGAAAGACTTAAAAATAATCCCATCAAAATAAGATGAGTTCGTGTTATTCTGCTCAAATCTTTAAAATGCTTAATCGTTAATGAAAAACGTGACATTTCATAGATACATATTATGTAAAACTGAATTGAATTTCCAAATATACATATTAACTTCTTGCACATTGATCTCTGTCTCTCTCTATCTTTCACTTCTTTTATTGTTGTTACTTAATCACTTCTTTTTTCTTTGTCATTTTGTTTCTTTAGTCTAAGCATAAATGTAGTTGTAGCTGTCGATATGTCAACTCATGCTTCAATGAATTCAATAACAAATACACCTAGTCAACAAATAGAATTATCTCAATCACATACAGAATATGAAGTTGCTATACAAGCTGTAATGGAAATACTTCAAGAATATGACAGGTAAGAGTATTCAAGAAAAATTATTATCACTATTATTATTTTCAATTTCTGTCTTATATATTCTGTTATGAAATAAGCTAGAATCAAGATGTGGTTTTACAGTGTTAAAGATACTTTTTTTATCAATCGACAAGAAAATTTGAAATTTTACTACCTATTTTCTTTCCTCTTTCAAACTTATTTAGTAATGAGATGTCTTGTTCACTATTCTGTATTAAACAGAAACATGTAAACCCAGAATTAGTATACTATTATTCGGAGCAATACTGATAGTTTCATTCACAACCATTATACTATTGCTTGCCATATCCTTTCAGAGGTCTTAGTTGTTGTAGAATACACTCTCTAATAATGAAATCTTAGTAGAATTTCCTCAAAACATTTCTTAAAGAACAATAATGATGAACTATGTAATACTTTTGAATCTTGATCATTTCGTTTTAAAATACAATTAGTAAAAATTATGGTTTTCAACAAGTACCTCGATGTATGCCGACGGATATCAAGAACCTATAATAATAGTTTAGTGTTTGGGTGAACTAAAGTAAGCTTCAGCATTTAATACTAGAAAGTCATCTATTATTGCTTAGTTGAATTACTCTCCAAAAAGCAAATAGTGCGAAGGGAATAAATTCAGTACTACACTAATTGACATTTCTACACCAGTGAAATGATACATTTTGATATATCAAGTATACGTTATAAAATAAGCTGATCAGACAATATTATGGCACATCATTCACATGAATGAATTTTAAAATCGCATCATACTATTTAACAGATAATTTTAATCTTCTATATTCACAAATAAATTCATATAAATTTGGATAAAAATCTAAATTAAAAGTTAACCAGAATCTATATTAATGTAGCCATAGAGACAACGAATTATTTTTTCTGGTTAGCGTACTTTTGGCGAGTTAGTTTTCTACGAGATGGGGTCGCTAACCCCATTCCCAACCCTCCTCCTTACCCGGGCTTGGGACCAGCAGTAACTCTAGAAGAGCTACAGGCGGAGGATTGACAAAACAAGGGCAGAATTTCTACAATTGAAGAACATGTGAAACTCCGAACAACTCTCAACTAATATAAAAGTGAGAATCTTCAATACGAACGTCTAGACAGTCCTGCTGTACGGAGCTGAAACTTGGAGAACTACTACATCCATCGTCAAGAAGGTACAAGTATTTATAAACAGCTGTCTACGCAAAATACTCAACATTCACTGGCCGGATACTATCAGCAACAGCATTTTATGGGAGAGAACAAATCAGTCCCAGTTGAGGATGAAATTAGGAAAAGTCTATGGAAGTGGATCAGACATACATTAGGGAACTCACCAAACTGCATCACGACTCAATCCCTAACTTGGAATACGGAAGGGAAGCAGAAAAGAGGAAGGCCAAAAAACACATTACGCTGAGAAAAAGAAGCAGATATGAAAAGGATGATTTTTAACTGGAAAGAATTACGCAGTACAGGGTTGGATGGAGAATACTAGTGTGCGGCCTATACTCTTCCACGAGTAGTAACAGGCGTAAGTAAGAGAAAATGAATTATCAGTTAAAAACTCTGTTAACTAAGCTGTAACATAATTTTAACTACAAGTCATCAATTTATAAATTGAAATATATCACTTGTGCTACAAAAGTTAATATGATAAGAGTTAAAATCACCATTGTATTTAGTGGTTATTCATGAGTTGTAACTACAATAATTATATCATTTTCAAATGAATCTTGTTGAGTTCCAAACTAATTTACATAGTCAATATCATGACAATTAAATAGTCACTTTTTGTTGATACATAAAAGATAACTAAACAAAATACTTTGTAACTATAGTTAAAACTATAATCCTTTTAAGAGTTACATTTCAAATTTAATCACAATGAAAATATACCTTCTCAATGTGAATTCATTTATACCAATAATATTTGTTGAATTAAGGAAATTTAGATTTTTTCCCGTTGAATAGGAAGACTAAGTGTACCCATCCCTACAAAGATATCTACGTCTATCGAAAACAATAAATTAAGTGCTCTAAATAGCCAACTAAAGAACTGATACTTGTTATGAGGATCTGGGGTTCGTAAAACACATAAATGATGGTATTGCCGACGGAGGGAGATTTATTACACATTAAAACTAGAATAATAACAATAATGTTTAAATACACTAATAATGATGAAATTAAACGAAAACAGCACGTGACATGAATGAATCGATGACTTAATGCATGATCAAAATCTACTTTAAACTTCGACAACTGACAATTATGAATAATTTACTAAGTTATTTGTTTACTTCTTAAAATTAGATTAAATATTGTAGATCATTAAAGAAGAAGAACTCAGCTTTCCGGTACATTCGAACTTCAATCGATCAAGATATTCTTGAATTCATGTTAAGAATTAGATTGAAAAGATCCATATATACATATAATGTTTACGTTATATTTTCATGATAAATAATTTGTTTTCTTTTACAAAAAAAAGTGATCAACTATTTCCTGCTTTTGGATTCGGTGCAAAAGTTTCATCAGGTGGTAAACTATCTCATAGATATCCATTAGTGAGTTCTGTAAACATTTTTTTAATGCTTTAATCAGATTATTTTAAATAAACAAAAAAAATAAGTTAATTGATTACAACAACTTTATATTTAGTACAATTAGAATTTTTTCTGATTAGCGTTTTTTGGGGGTCACTAACCCCATGCCCAACCCTCCTCCTTTACCCGGGCTTGAGGCCGACAGTAGCCCCCGGAGAAGCTACAGGTGGAGTTACATTTAGTACAAATAGGTATGAAAAAGGTAATGATGATTAATGTTGAAAAATTCATAAACACTAAAACATAATTGAAATTAATAGTTTCTAGGATTGTTAGAATTCAGTTCGAATTAACTACATAGAGTATACAAATTATTATGATTATCTATACTTAATTACGCCTGTTAACCCTCATGGAAAAGAATAGGCGGCTTACCAACATTCTCCATTCAATTCTGGCCAATTCTTCTCCATTATTTCTAGCTGCTATTCATCCCTTTCATATCTGCATCCAATTCTTGACGTGTTCTTTGGCCTTGCTCTATTCCGTTTCCCTTCAGAATTCCAAGTTAGCACTTGCCTTGTGATGCAGTTTGGTGATTTCCCTAATGTATGTCTGATCCACTTCCATAGACTTTCCCTAATTTCATCCTCAACTGGGACTGATTTGTTCTCTCCCATATATATAAATACGTAAACTAAACTATAAAGATTTTTGTTGAACCTTGGAAATATTCGTATGAAATTCATAAAGTGTACAGAGTTTGTGAAAATTAATGAATTTTATAGTTCACGTCACAAAATGGTTTGAATCAGCCGAATAGGGAAAAGCAGCAATTACTGAACAGTTGTTTCGTTTTAATTTGGGACTCCCCACCAGCACGTATTTAAGACCCTGCTGTCTATCAAGTCTGAAACTTTCATGTTGAAAGATGAGATTTCGACCTTTAAATCACTGAGTGAGGATCATATGGTTTACATTTCTGACTTTAATCAATTAGCAATATTGTAAGGCAATCATCGGATGCCATTGGTGGGTAACCACCTCAAAATGTTTGGACTCTACTAATTATAGCTTCTCACGGTAACTCCTTGATATAACGGATGATTTTAATTATTTTCTTCTTTCAGATATACTACGATAATAAGTTAATACTATAATAAGGCTAATCAGGTTAGATCACATCCAGGATTACAGACCCAGAATAGAGAACTAGAGTATAGACTAATACTTTATTCGGCACAATTACAAATACGGTGAAACCGCAGTAGAAATCAATGAAGGGAAAGGAAATCACATATTTAGTAGTCAGTAGGCTGTGTCTGTTTGTCCACGCTCAATGATTATTCATATTTTACCTGCACTAACACACATCACTCCTATTTCAAGCTTCAGAGATTACGGTCCACTTTGTAGTGAGGTCGTGGATGCACACTAGCGATTAGGTTCATACGACAATGAAACAACCGTCCCTTATTTTCTAATTTTCAGTGATTGTCTAACTGAGATCTGTCCTTGGTCCAAACTATAAGACTCATAGAATGTTGAAGGCCGTTTACACAAGAAATCATTATTCAGACGCTAAAGATTATTAATGGTAATTCATGGATTATTAATAACGGTATTCCCAATCGACTCATTCGTTTCCATATATATATAACGATAATAAAATAAGTCTCAAATCATTACGGTTTTTAAAACCTGTAAGTAAAAAGGATGATGGTGATAGACATAGAATTTCATTCCAAATTTTATTATCGAATACCCTTTGGGAAAATGAAAGTTGTAATATTTTGTCATCTTGACATTTTTTTCTTTGTTGTTTTTGTGGAGATGGTGCTTGCTGATGTATGACATACATTATTGTACTCAAATATCGAAATTTTTGTTCAATTTCCGATGAAGTCCATGCTAAATTATATATAGAAATCATACTTGTCATTACAAACTAGCTCACGGACGGTGTTCATCACAACTTTTATAATCATTATTGACAAATCTCTTCATATTTAACATATTGAAGCCATTATTGTCACTTATTTCTTTTTTTAAACTTATCATATTTTTTAGCAGAAAACAAAATGTAGGATAGTTTCCCTGAATAAATTCAACACTAAACTACCCGATCACCTTATTTTTTGAGATTAAAAACTAAATGAATGTATGTTTATCATAGAAGATTTGTAAAGATCATTGAATTTTCATAATCCGTATTACAGACTGATATTACCCATACAACCGTTGAAAACCGGAAAGCCTTGGGAAGTTGTTTCTCCCCAGTGTGGGACTCCTCAGTAGTACCCACTCCGACTCAGGGAGGATCGAACCCAGGACCCTCAGTCTTGTGGAGAGCACCTTACCAATTTCAAAAATCCCTTAAATCTTAAAAGTCTTGAATTATTATTTTCTAACTTGATGGAAAAACACTTTCACAACCACTGTGACTCCGAGTGTAATTTTGTTTGAAGTCATGAGTGTAGACTGTTATTTTTTCTCAAACTACAGTGACTTCCTGACGTTTTTAATGAGTTGTGAAATATGAACATAATCAAGTTGAAACAAAGTAGTTACTCACTGATAGAATCTATTAAATATGGTATTATCCCATGGTTTGGACCACTGAATTTTAACTTAACAACTTAGTAACCCTATACCCCTTGTCTTCAATGGTCTTTTAGATGGTCCCAGCCAGAGATCACCAGTTATCATATCTTACTTAAGTAAATACTCACTTATATACTACATAGTATATTAACAAATTCTGCAAAATATTACATTATATACGAATAAAAGTACTAAAATTGATAGACTAGATGAGTCCAGATGAGTCATGCCCATGTCTGCATAAGCTAGCCCTAGATCAAATGGTAAGTAAGAAATACAGCAGAATCCATTATTTCGGTAAAAAGTAATTTATGCAGTTTGTTAAGGTTTGGCATTAATAACTAAGGAATACATATATAAATACCAAAGAGTTGTGTACACTTTGATTCATTTTGCCAGCACAGCCTTGTAGTCATTCTTAGTTCTTTCACTTCCACGGGAGGTTGGTAAAAAAAGCATATGTCAATATAAAAGTCAGATAACCACCGTGGGTTACAGAAGTACTCAAATAAATCTGTTTGAATCTCAGTCTTCGATTACATTCAATAAACCTTTGGTCTACCAAATAGATATCAGTTTTCATCAATTTCGAAAATGTATTTTCCTAATAGGTACAAACAAACACAAATGCGAGACCAACAAAATTTTAACTGATAACTTCCATCTACAAAATATCAGAATTGAACTTAATCTAGAATAAAGTACTACATCTTCAAACATTACCATATAAATATCTCCAAACTATTCTGTTAGAATACTTTTCTAAACATTAAATTTTAATACTTCATACAAAATATTAAAGTTAGATTAGTTTAAATTAAGAATGAACTTAATAGAAAACTTAACAGACCCAAATTGATGTTCTAGTGTGGTTAAGTACTCAGTTCTTAATAATAAGTTCATAGATTGAAATCAAAGTTGAATAGTTGTATCTTTACCTTTTCATATTTGGAACGTGATTTAAAGCTGAATAAAAAAAATAGATGGATTTAATTATATGTAATTTGATAGAATAAACTTATCACTGAATAAACCCAAATGATCAATTAAGCACGTATAGATCTTTTTGATTTAAGTGTGATTGTTTAATACATCAAAAGATTAATTAATATGATCTATTATGATTAACTATAATCGACTTGAAATAGCTTATTTCACATAAATAGTTACAATGTTCTAAATCTTCTTCTTTTTTTGATTATTCAATCATTCATTTCATAGAATGGGGATGTAAACAATTGTTATTGTAAGGGTATGGTAGGAGTACTTTCAGCCTATAGGCGTTGTTTAACTGATTTATATTCATCTGGTCCAATATTGTTTTCACCAATTATTCGAGAAGTTAGCGAGTAAGTGTTAACTATTATTTTAAATTATATCAAAGAAATAAAAAAAAACATTTTTTTGTATAGTTGAATGTAATACTGATAATTAAAATATCTGTGATGTATGCTACTCATTTCAACAGATATAAGTAGTATGTATCATCAATCGAAAGTGAAACGCCTGGGAGCAGGAAGTTAAGAAGATCCAAGAAAAGAGAATGAGAGCAAAGAATGATTGATGTGAAAACGAAAGAAAGTTTGAGATAATTGATTGACATATTGCAAATGAAATATTTATTATATTACCGACGACCTCACATGAGGCTGAATTCAGGACCTTCAGACTTCAAAGTCAGTGCTTCACTTTCAAACCAGTGTATTACATTTCCAACTCCAATCAGTTTACTCCACTGAACACCCATCGTTCATCACTATTGTTGCGTAAATATCTCATACCTGTGAACATGATTAAACTCCACTGATCACGGCTACTCACTAGAACTTTGAGTATTACCTTATAAAATTTGATAAAACGTTTGTTTTGGCAAACAATTTTATAAAAATATACAAATCAAAGAATACTTACCTGATTAAAAAATATTTCCCATTTTGATATCTTTCTCAATATAAGTAAAAAAAGAAATTACAAAAAACCCAATGGAAATCCTGTCCAAAATTCATCTTTTATAATAAAAATAATTATAATGAACATATTTAAACTACCCCCCGATCGATTTTAAAATTACATATAAATACTAACTTATACTTTTTGCATACATACTTAACTAGAGATTGATATTTTTTTTAACATAATCAAAATGAATAGTTCATATTGACGAAATATTATATCCCGACTACTGATAACCCTATTCTACTTATGCTTCAATTAGAATAATTGTCTGGGCATGAACACTGTTAGTTATATACATATATATGAACTATGTTTCAAACAATGCAGAGATAGAATGAGATAAAGAATCATAATTTCTTCAATCATATCATTGTTTTAATCTAAAACTTTACATCTTAGAATTGGCAACTAAGTTATTTTATATAATGAAGAGATTTATAAAAGCATATGACCATTAAAATTATCTACCATAGTTTCAAAACACTATTTTATCCTTTTGTGCCAAATTTTAATATGAAAGAAACATGTGATATATTAAAGTAACAAATAAGTGAATAAAACTCATTGCAAATAAATGAGGCTTAAATGAATGATATAAAATCATCTAAAGAGAAATTATATATTACTACAAAAACATTAACAATTAACTTTGTCATTATCAATGTTATGCTGTGTAGTTCTTGGCGGTAATCAAGTTTTAAATATCAAGTGACTATATAATTATTGCTTGAAGTGGTAAAACATTTTCCTTGCCTCTAGTTACTCATTTTTCTCTTAAGCCCCCAAATGCCCTGGTACGGCCGAGAGTGGGGAGAGTCCACTCTTCCTCTCGAAATGCTCTCACATGGCCACACATATATAGCCTCTGCCAGGAAAGTCCTACTTACTGCGTTCTTGCACCAGGGTATTGTTTACGTAATTGAGAGGACGAAAACCGAATGTCCGGCACTTTAACTGGGTTGATGGACACGGAAAGTCCATCTAGGGAAGTTGGAAAACCCTCATTCCAAACCAATGGTGTATATGGGCTCCAGTATCCTGAGGGAACAAATGGCGTATGAATCAATCGTTGGTCACCGGCTACCATGGGACTGCATCTCCTTACGATGCTCCACTGCCTTGTGGATCAGACCTTTAGGTCAAAGGCTCCGTGTGTGGCCCCCCTAAGAAAACCACCTGCTTCAGTTTGGGCGCCAGGGGAGTATGACAGCCCTCACACAAATCAAATGAGATTTGTGAGGCGCATATATATCTGGTGCCCCTTTGTACCAATATTTGTGTGTTCAAATAAAAAATAAAAAAATAAGTTAATCAAAGACAATCACTTTTATTAAATCAAATTTCTTCACGGTAGCATCTATAACTTCAACATTGTATGATATCAGTTTGAATCGAACAAACAACATCACTTTCTTCAAAATTATCTAAAAGTACTAACTACTATGAAGACCAGGCGAGATTATAATTTATGGACGACCTTGAACGAATCTCGAGTGACCTTGAGAAATATTAGCCAATCAGTTGACAGTTATTATAGAGAAAAAATATATTATACAACACCAAAGAATTAAAGTGAATACACTACTTTTACATGGTCCAGGAACTTGTCAAGGTTAATGCGTAGGGTAGAGGAACTCATCCATATGGCTCCATAATACTTTGTCTCTGGAGCCATGATAAGTTCACAAAAACTCTCTCAGCCTCAACCATATAGCTTCAATATTGTTTGTATATACTCCGGTCGAGTAAGCTTGTCGTTTTTATTACGCATATATCCCTATAATACTCATACCTCTGAATAGCCGAAGCTTCAGTAACATCCGTGAATATTGCAGCTAACAATACTGGTGCTTTTACTATATAGTTCGCAGCAATTATTATAATTTGCCTCAGTCTCAATCTAGATCGAGAGAGAAAAGTTTCTATTCTAGCAGACTTCCTCCCCTAACATATATTACATCGAAAGATAACATCATCACGGTAGTATGCACAAGGTCTACAAGTCAATTGATTACCGCACTTACAAATAAAGGAACTTCTTAGTAGTCCCATTTATTGTAGCTGCTTAATTGTCACGTCTTCTCTAAAATCCACTGTAAACCGATTGTACATGAGCATCAGGTGCTGAAATTGGCTCTGTGACATTGAAATCCTTCAAACGCTTCTGATTGGCTCGTCCATAAATTATAATCTCGCCGAAAATCTTTGTTAAACAATAAAGTTTTGTAATTAAACTATCTCAAATTATCAAATATACATGTAATAAAAATAATTTTACTATTTCACTATTATCTTATATAAGAATTATTAATTATTTTCTATCTTATAGAGCAGCTAAACGAAGTGAAGCAGCTGATAATTATTATGTTCTATTAATATTAACTAATGGTACTGTAGATGATTGGATTGAAACTAAAAAATCTGTCATTGAAGTAAGTTTAGTTTAGTTTAACATAAAAAATAATAATAAGTTTGGGTAAAGTTTTACAGATTGATCGTTTACGGAATGCATTCATTTTGGTAACGATTAGAGAATTGTCAGAGCGGGGTTTTGTGGAGATTTTAGTAATTTTATATAGTTGAAATCATGAGTCGATTAAAGCTAGACTATCATGAAAAACTTGGAACCACTGGACGGCCGTTTCGTTCTATTGTGGTGAATGGTTGCTTAATTTCATGGATTGGTTATACGTTAACACCGTTGAATGCCGGCTCAATGGTCTAGTGGTTAAGCGCTCTGGTGGCCTAGTTTCAATTGACTCATGATTCCAACTATATGAAATCAGAGAACTATTGAATATTAATTGGTTGCTTACAATCGATTGTTTATATATTTTAAAAAACTGGGTTTTTTTATGAGTGTAGTTGTTGAATTTTCTCTTTACTTACGAAAGTTAATGAAATTTTAAAAAATGAAATGAACAAAGATCAAAATAGACTATGGATATTTATGAAATCCAAGAGACATGTTTCATCTAATTTGGGCTCATCAGCCTGATTCACATGCATTCCAGTGTTTTATTAATCCGGTGTCTGACCCCATTTAAATCGTATTATGATGGTTATTAAAATATACATGCCGACAATCGTGTCATATAATTATCGACTTAACTCGCGTAAATGAATAACGGAATTAAATAAGTCAAATAAGTGGATGAAGTTTGAATGCGTATATTTTATACAATCATTGATCTGAACACATAATCAGGGAGACGGAGCGGAGGAAGCCAGGAGGATAGAGCGAAGCAAAACGAACCGAGGAAGGTATTTTAGCCAACTTGATTTAACCAAGCGTGAATCAATATCTATAGCCAGACCAAAATAAGTTACAAGCATGTGATTAATAGGGTAAGCAATACACGAACACACGATCATATAAAAACAGTCAGGATTAATAAGCGAATAAGTGACGAGGTCAAAATATAGCTTGAGAAGAATGAATAAATTGGCTTGTCTAGAAGCTATAATAACCTATATGGGCTTGATATAGTGCCAGCCACTACAATGTCAACGTTCACATTTTTACTGGAACTCAAAAACTGACTCTCAAACCCAGCCGTCAAGTATCAAATGGAACAAAACTATATCCTAGATCTTACTCCTAACTGTAATTCGTCTATTTCGTAAAACTTGTGACAATAGTTTTAGAAAGACAATCCACATAGGATGCATAGATTCTAACAATGACCGATCAAAATTCTATCCTAAATATTAACAGTGGAATAATTCCAACCTGTACTAATAGTGATCTAAACTCTAATCATACATTATCGATTGCTATTGTTTGTTATGTTGCACCAATTTTCTATGTATAATTACATTTAGCGCAGCGGTGATACCTTTTATTGCGCTTGCTATTCTATGTGTTTATATCATACATTAAAAATTAATTTAAAGGCTGAATCAGATGTATTTGTTTTCGTGAGAATACAGGCAAATTTTACGGCAGAATCATGCGAAAAATTCGAGGATATAACTTAATTAATTAGATAACTGATCGCAGTATAGAATCACAATTAATACCATACAAATGTAAGAAAGATTTAGCCATCTTTCTTAGATGCATTAATAAGATGGATTGATAAAAAAATGCTCTATCTACAGAAAGCGTATTTATAGACAAGGCAATATCCTAACTGCTGCTGTCTTTTTTATTTCCATAAGAAAGAATGTTAATAAGGAGTCAGTTTACTGGGATCGACTGTATATACATAAAACGACAACACAAAACAGAAAGTCAAACCGTTAAAAGGACCATTGACACAGAATGAAGGACTATCATAATTCATGTAACACTAAAAAAATCATTTCATAGTGGGACCTTTTATACTTTTAGTACTTATCAAATATCTACTTTATCGTTCTAATCACTGATGAGTTTTATCATTTCCCTATTGGATATTATATGAATTGTCCAAATTAAATACATTATCTGATAAAAACATCCTTTCTCAAAGGCATTAAATGGTATACACATATATACTACAAGCTTATAATGTTGTAAAACATTATTGAGTATTATAAGCAAAGATGGATTGTGGCTAGCAGTGAAATCCAGGACGCGCGTTTCGTCCTACTTGGGACTCGTAAGCTGGATGTACCTGTACCCCAGAGTTGATTTTCGCTCTGGGACTCGAACCCAGTACCATTTGCTTCAAACCCCATCGCGTTATCCACTTAGCTACTGAGTCCTGATAGCAACTTGCTTGTGCGATAGGGTGAAGTTTAAATTCATATGGTACTGTTAATTTGAATCTTCCCATTAATGTTTAGGACTGCTAGCCACTTTGCTTATAATGCTTGTGAATTAAGGCTATATCAAGGCAATACGCACAGTATGCACATATGGCTAATAAGAGACTGATCAATTGCAGTCTTAAACATCAATGGGAAGATTTAAACAAACAATACCAAATGAATTCATTATCAAGTATGATATTTAAATGAAACCTGTGAAATTCAACTATCTTTTTTCTTTTGTTAATTATGAATTATTCAAGTTAGATTTTCGCTTAAAAACTTTATATCTACTTTTTTTATGTATGAAGACTTCATTTCTTCCCATATCTATCATTGTACTCGGTGTTGGTGGCGGAAAATTTTCAGGTAAATTTAGTATATTACTTTTTTAAAGTTATACATAGTAGTAAATATGTAGCAAATGTTTGAAGATGGTCTTTCTACCAAACTAAAAATATCTTAATAACTAGTAGAAATTTTATCTGGTTCTTAGAAGAGAAGATTGATTTTTACACTTTAAATCTGGAGATTGATCCTACTTATGGGATGAAAAATTAGTTAGAATGCCAATTCGCCATGATGTAGTTTTTCTCTAGTGATCTACAGTTTTCAGTAGTTCTTTAACTGTTATTAGATAGTAATGATTATATCTTGAAAAGTAGATAATCTCTGCGTACTGCTCATTTAAACATTGATTTTGTTTAATAATACAACACATAATTCTTTTGGTATGCAGATTAAGGGTTCTTTATGCACTAACTACAAATCTTCGCTTGATCAAAAGCTACAATGAGATTAAGATCATTTTATTATCTTGTTAAAATCTTTTGCAGCTTAACAAAATACTAATATGGCTACCGGTTATCTTTTGCAGACAAAATTGATTACTTACAAGGACTGATACAGCCTGATGTAAGGAAGAAAGCACAATTGCAGATTAAGGGTTCTTTACGCACTAACTACAAATCTTCGCTTGATCAAAAGCTACAATGAGATTAAGATAATTTTATTATCTTGTTAGCAGATAAATTTAGAAATATTTAGTTAGGCAGTAGGTGATATAAATTAATTAATTAATGCATGTATAAGATTTAAGACATCGATGAATTTAACTACACTGATTAACAATATAAGGAATCACTCAGTTCTATATTTGCTGTGTACCGAAAATATCAATTCCTAGAAACTTAGTACCTTCAGTCTTATTGAGACTTTTTCAAATTGTATGCTAAACAGACTTCCTCTGAACGATTAAAATGTCTCAAACTTCTTTTTTTTATGTGAACACTTCAATTTTGATCATGAATTTAAAATCTACAATGATGAAAATACTTAAACCAATAGTGATCTTCATTATCAATAATGTTGATATTCTCAATTTTGACAAACCATCATTTACTTTGTATTCAACACTTATCATTAGTCATAGTTTTAAAGCATGAGTCAATTGAAGCTAGACCACCATTATCATTAGTATCAGATCACATAAACATATCCATCCGTTTCAACAGAGTTAATAAAAATTTCCTAATCTTCAAGTTATATGTCCGAACGAAACAATTGATTGGAGGAATACTGATAAAAACTTATGAGAGATTATTATTTTACTGAAGTATCTAACTGGATTCTCTCAACATTAAAATGAGTAGAAAAGTAATTAGAAAACTTAACCAACCAGCTCATTATATATATGTATATATATAAAGTGAAACCTTTCCTTACGCAAACAAAAGACATATTCATCCAAGGTATTTTATATGACAAGCTAAAGTGAACTCATTGGTTTCCTTGAATCCCTTTACTCTCGATTGATCCTTCGTTTCTTGTTAATTCACATCACTTTGACTAGATATTTTATTCATAAATGGGTCTTAATTTAATAATCTCATATTTAGACAGCCATTCAGTTAAACTATCTTTTGAAATCTATTTGAATGATATTTGATTTCATAAGTTTGACTATTTAAACTCAACAATTATATTATGACTAAGGATTACTTAGTAAATAATCAGTAATGAAAATGAAGGTAACAACATAATAACTAATGAAACTAGATATCTACCTGTTCTATCATCATATTCACCATTAATCCATCGAAACTGTAATCCAACAAGAAATATCAACCTCCTCAGGATCTTAAGCATACCTTGCAGACGAATGATAACTAGCATGAAACCTAGGTGAGGAAGGAATTCCTGTCAGCTATTCCTAATCAGCTAATACATACTGAACTATATTAATAGTATCATCATTAAACTAAACTTCTTTCTGCTTGAAATTTAAATGAAACATCAAAAGTAAGTAATCAGTAAGGTATTAATTTAATAATATCTTGAATTAATACAATCAATTCATATCTGATATCTCTCGTACATATTTATTATTATTTGTTATTTCAATTAGAAATGGAAATTTTGGATCAAGATTTTGGTTTGTTGAAAGTTGGTCAAGAACAAGCTTGTAGAGATAATGTACAAGTAAGAGTTCATTAAATAATCTATATTTATTTACATAAATTTCAAATGATATATCATTATTCATTCTCAAAATGAAAGTTACATTTTTAAAAATACTATTTAATACTACTATCAATGAATAAGTAATCAGTAATAATGGATGTCAGGGTTTTTTGTGGAGATTTAGTATTTTCATAGTTGAAAGCGTGAGTCAATTGAAGCTAGACCACCAAGGAAAACCTAGAAGCACTGGACGGCCGTTTCGTCCCATCGCTCCGGAGCGAGACTGGTAGCGCTTGGGTTCGAATCTCACGAGGCGAGGTCGTGGATGAGCACTGCTGAGGAGTCCCACAATAGGACGAAACGGTCGTCCAGTGCTTCTGGGTTTTCCCTGGTGGTCTAGCTTTAATTGACTCGCGCTTTCAACTATAAAAATAATGGATGTGTTTAGAAAATTTAGGCAAAATATTTTTATTATAGACTGGCTGATATCACTTTGAAGAAAATTTACCTGAAGCAAAATTAGATGAATTATTAATACGAATCAATGAGTAATGTATAGAAATCAATGTTAAAAACAGATTATTTAATAACAGTCTCTCAATAGTATATACAGTTGATTTCACAAATGATCGAACACAGGATCATACTATGGAGCCTGAAGATCTTATGTCTGAATTCACAAGTACGTATTACTGTAAAGTCTAAAACAGAGATAAGAAAGCTGTTTAGTACGTTTTTTCATTAACTCTCCAGACGATATCATTTTGTGCTCAAAATCATCTTTAGATCTAATTACTTTTTTATAAATTATCAAAGTAATCAATCAGTAATTCAATTTGAAAACTTAAATTTACATCGATGAAAATTAAAAGCCTTGACCGATCTATCCAACAAAGTAGGAAACAACGTTTAATAGTTATAATCGATAATACAAGTCATTTCTATCGTTTTCAAATGTTAAATTTCCTTCTAATAAGTTGATAGTAGAATGAGTACTCTATGGCTCTGGTTCAACTTTGAAATCGGAAGAAGATAACTCTTACCAACTAAAGAAAAATAAGACTTATAAAAACAAAGCTCTGACAGTAGCTTACAAAAAAATCCAAAAAACATTTTTTGTTCCATTTGAGACTTGTAAGCCATATTTACATCAAATTAGTGTAGATGTTCACTTCAAGACTCTGACCCAATACCTTTCTCTTTAAACGCCCAGTTGGTCATCTACTTAGATACCGAATCCAGATAAACACTGACTTTTGAAACGGGGATGAATTTTACTATGAAGCTTTGCTTAAAAATATTTTTGAATTAATAGTAAGATTGAAGTGATCCATACGAGATGCACGTATACTAACTAAGATTAAACAATTTCAGTCCTTAATTCCAACAACGAATTAACACAGCCGACGAATCTTTAAGGTTCATGTAAACTTCTATCAAAGCTTAAAAACCTTACACGTATCACCAAAACTAATTTTGTATTGATAAACTGAAATTTTAACAGTGATTAAATTCAAACAAAAAATACAGCTTCTAATATCGTAATCATGTAATTTCATCAATTGGCAACTCGAAATAATATCTATACAGTTTAGATCCTCACTAGAAAAAATTGTTTCTAAATTATTGTATAGTGTTTATTAATTTTGATTGATTCTCAAGTAATTTTAGTTCATATTGATGAATGATAAATTCAATTATTTAATCACTAACCAGTTGAAACTTTTAACCATTTAATTTCTTTTATCCGATTGGATAATATAGCATCCATATTCATATATATTACCAAAAGGTAGTTCAAATTTGAATATATGTATAAAGTTGGATCAATTTTGATTTGGTTATTTATCCTCTGAAGAAGTGGCTTACACTGAGTTACGAAACGCAAGGAAATCTAATTTTTCTACTCACTGGGATACTACAAATATATGTATATATTTAAACACATAAATATTGATACAAGGAAGCACCAGATATATATGCGCCGTACGAAACTCATTCGATTTGAGTGAGGGCCGTGATACTGCCCGGGTGCCCAAACTGAAGCAGGTGGTTTTCTTAGGGGACCACACACGGAGCCTTTGACCTAAAGATTTGATCCACAAGGCAGTGGAGCATCGTAAGGAGATGCAGTCCCATGGTAGCCAGTGACCAACGATTGATTCATAAGCCACTTGTTCCTTCAGGATACTCGAGCCCATGTGCACCATTGGTTTGGAATGAGGGTTTTCCAACTTCCCTAGATGGACTTTCCGTGTCTATCAACCCGGTTAAAGTGCCGGACATTCGCTTTTCGTCCTCTCAACTTCGTAAACAACACCCTTGCCACGAGAATGTAGTGAGTAGGACTTTCCTGGCAGAGGCTATATATGCGTGGCCATGTGAGAGCATTTCGAGAGGGAGAGTCGACTCTCCCCACTCTCGGCCGTACCAGGGCATTTGGAGGCGATATTACAAATATATTATTTCAGTTATATATAAAGTTAATTTAATCTTACCTCATCATTTTATTTTATTTTTCTACAATTATATCATGTAATTTAATACTTTCTCTAATCTTCTTTTATTAAATACCTAAAAAAATAATAATAATACCTAATGATAATGATAATTTATACTCATCTATCCCTTTACTCATCTCAATAATTTAAATCTCATATTATTATTCTTTCTTTTTTTATACTGATCTTTGTACAGTCCAACACAAATAATTAAGATGAATCTATTTGGATTTTCTTTTTCTATCCTTTAGTTGCTAAGCAATTTTCTGTAAAAAAAATTATACAAATTAGAAAAGAATAAAAAATTGAATTGAAAGAATCATTTAGTAATGACTTTTCTGATTAATTATTGATTTATTCTTTATTTTTATTTTTTTATCTGATATATATTATTTTTATAATTATTATTAGTTTGTACAAATGAGACGATTTTTACGATTAGCAGCTGATGGATCAGATAGTATACGTTGGAGTAAAGTAGCATTAGCCAAAGAAGTATTAGCTGAACTACCTTCACAAGTAAGTTGTTTAAATATTCTTATCTTTCATAATTATAAGTATTAATTAGTTTAAAAAGTAAAACAAGGATTATATCTATTATTATTATTAATCTTTAAGAGTGTGACTAGTCAGTCTCTAGTGGTATGCCTCTATATAGCTATTTTGTCACAACCAACTGGTTTAAAGCCATATGAGCAGTAATTCACGGTCATAACACTTACATTACTGACATGAATAAATGTATAAAGAAATTGATTGTTCTGTGATAGAGTTCTGGTATCTGTGACATTACATAGTTTGACAAACAAGCTTACAATAAGCGATACTAAATTACAATATGTTAACCTATATCATATAATTTAAATATATTTCAACAAATATTTACAAAGAGTAAGTAAATTCTTGTTCTGAGGTGGTTTACAAATAAAACAAAAATTGTAAGGAAATATTTTCATAACAGAGTAACATGAAACTTGACCATTTTGATGATAGCTTACAATTAGCTGAACAACAGTCAAATTATTTAAAAGTGTTTTTATAGTAGGCGGTCGTCCAAGTCTGTTATTAATGTACAAATTTTGCTATACCCAAACCCAACCACCTATTTCAGTGAAAAAATCAAAAGGGAGTAGGAAGCTTTTATTGACTAAAAGTGAGTGGAGAACATACATAAAACTCATTCATGAATATATGTTTATCTTCCTTAGAAAATTAAGTCACATTTACAATGGCGTATGTTTTTCACCTTATAAAGTAAAACCAAGTTTTGGCCGATAGCGCACGTCTGTCATTTGATGTGTGTCTGGTTGATCAAACGTATTGTATATAAACTCACAAAATCAAAAGCACCACAATTCAATTATTTGATAATCATTAAAGTACATTTTCCTAAACAGCATAATACAAGGGTTAACTTCAAACAACAAAAGAATGTTACTCCGATTATATAAAATAATGTATAAACGACTCCAAATTTGACCGTCTAACTATCAGTAACTTGTTATGGCTTCGGTTATTTGAACAATTTATTAAAATAATAAATTCATTTAGTATTGCTTATTTGAATCTTCCCATTGATGAGTTAGGACTGTAACTGGTCAGTCTCTAATTGGCATATGTGCATACTGTGCGTATTGCCTCAATATAGCCTTAATTCACGAGCATGGTAAGCAGAGATGGATAGTGGCTAGCAATGGAATCCAAGAAGCGCGTTTCGTCCTATTTAAGACTCGTCAGTTGGATGTACCTGCATCTCAGAGTTGATGTTCACTCTGGACTCAGTGGCCGAGTGGATAACGCGATGTCGTTTGAAGCGAGGGTACTGGGTTCGAGTCCAAGAGTGAACATCAACTCCGAGATGCAGGTACATCCAACTGACGAGTCCCAAGTAGGACGAAACGCGCGTCCTGGATTCCACTGCTAGCCACTATCCATCTCTGCTTACTATTAAAATAATATTTACCACAAATCAGTGTCAACTAAAGAATCATCAAGAAAAAAGAGGCATTTATTCAGTTATACAGTAAACTTTACACAAGACTGCATATACAACTTTTAGATCTTATAAGTAAAATATACGACTAATAAATCAATGAGTTATAATCGAAAATTTGACGTACCTACCACAAATCTTCTTGCGTAAATGCCTAACGATATAGATCAAAATTTTATAGGTGCTTAAAAGACGCCTAATCCAGTATTTTATAAGTCTTAATATTTATTTATTGATTAGTTTTTCCACAAAAACATGTATTTATCAGTTGTACCATTTTTGCCATGAACCACATAATAATTTTAATATACATTTTGAACTACTGAGTAGGTTATCAATAGGCAAAATCCAAAAGCTAGATATAAAAAGATGTAGGGTTAACATCCATTTTAAATTGGCGGTGCAAAGATTGGGCGCTTGCTTCTAAACTCTAAAGTTTTGGGTCCAGTCTCTGATGAGGGTATAGATGTGCACTACTGAGAATTTTAACCCTAGAATAGAACAGCCGTTTATCCGGACAAGGTTTTGTGATTTGCGTTACTAAATATAATCTACTGTATTCAGATATCGTGTGCATGTACTGATCACCGAATGAAATGTCAGTCCTCGCTCTTAACATTGGTTTATCAGCCACGAACTCCAGTTCCACAACTAATTCAAGGGAACTGATCGTGTATCCAATATTCCGTTGCCTGGCATTATCCAAAAAAAAACAAAGGAATATTGCTTTAACCTAGTAGCTTCCAGAGTCAGTTCATGACTTGAATACAAATGTATTGAATATATTAATTTGCTTAACGGGAACTTTCATGTCACATTCACACTAATGCTAACAGCTGTCGTACGTATTAACGGATAAATAGAATTGTTGGTTTGCACAGTAAAATAGGCTGACTGAAACAATACAGAAAATAATATTAATATACAGTCTTTTTACATTAGTAGATTGCTTGATTGAAAATATTTAAAAATGGTGTTGCTACCAGTAGCTAGCCATAATAAGAGTTCGCAAAGTCTTAACTATGTTCAACCATGTTGGAATCTACATAGTCACCCATTAATACTATTGACTGATGCCACACTATATAATGAATTGACTAAAAATGGAAATATAAACTAGTATTCCCCGACCCAATGACTAAATAAAACTGTATTCTTTGAGAGATGTAAAGGTCTTGGATGCTGTTCTTATCGGTGTGAAGGGTAATATATATGCTAAGTAATCAGTTTGCTGATAGCTACTCGTCTTTGATAATTACTTGGCTGATGATAACTTGCGATGAATATCATCTGTGAAATAAAACCATATTTTAAAGTATATATTAAGTTGGACAACTATTAGAAACCAAGAAGCAGTGGATAGCTGTTTCATCCTAGAGTGAGGTAACGCAAAACTTTTTATGAAAGATTCAACTACGGTTTGAACCTGGCTTCTTCAGACCTCTTCTCGGGTGAATAACCTTTGGACCACTGAGTCGGCACATAGTAGTTTATATTTCCAAATCCAACCAATTCGCTATACTTTGCAAACGTCACCTAATCTCATATACATATATAATCATATTTTTCAGATTTTGGAATATTTAGACAAAAATCATCTTAGTCCACAACATCTTGTACCTAGACAAGCAGAAAAACTCAGTGATTTAACAAATCCTGATTGGTGGCGACGATTCACTCAACCATTATCTGAAAATCAACCTGAACCATCTGAAGATGAAAATGATGCTTTACAACGTTTACAATTAATTGATAAAAATAATCAACCAACAACATCATCATCATCAAATTCACCAATTAGTTCAACATCTTCTGATCAATATTATTGTAAATCTGGACAAATATTTAATTTAACTGATAATAATAATAATTCTACATTAAATGAAATGAAAAGTTATTCTATGAATCAATCATCACCTAAAAAAACTCAAATACCATTATATCGTCAAATGTCATTAGGTACAACAAAATTATCAGAGAATTATCCAACTAAAACACGTTTTCGACGATTACCAAGTGGTTTAGATACAAATAATAATACAAATCGAGTTACACCAAATCGATCAAATAACAATATTAATACTGGTACTGGTAATAGTTCAAAGTAAAGAAAAAAAATAGAAGAAAAAAAGAAGAGAGATCATACAATGTAATATATATATATATAAGTTCTCTTCTTACTTATTTTTGTTGCTAACCAACATCATTATAAAGCAAAAATGAAAAAAAATTGATTGATTGAAATGGGTTGATTTTTTTTCTCTATTTTTGTGAAAGAATAAATAAATCAATAAAGATAAACAATTTTATTCTTGTCTTATTTTAATTAAAGAATTAATCATTGTAAATGTAAACAATACAATTAGATTAATAATAATAATAAATAAGCCTAACAGATAACATTTGTATGATAATGAACTCTTTAAAGTGCCTCATTGACATTTTTTTCTTTCATTTTGATAAACTAACTCATTAAACACATAGATGATAGTAATTTACTACTGATTAATTTAAAAGTAGATTAAGTAAAAATTAAATAAAAAATAATTGTAATCATTATGTATTTCATCACATCTTTTTTTTACATATAACAAATGATGGACACTTCTATTGACATATATACATAATATAATATGAATATATTTTATATAAACTTATTACTTCATTCAATGTGTCAATGCATAAGACAATTAATAAAGAGTACTTTATATTGAAAAGATAAGTTAATGTATCTGTTCATGAAATCTACAAGGATTTTCACTGCTCCATACTACTACTATTACTACTACTACTACCAATAATACTACTGATGATGATGATGAAGAAGAAGAGTGTTTACTCAAAGTGACGAAACAGTTAATCACCGGAAATTTAATCAATTAATAATTGGATATTAGAAATAAATTAATTTTCACATAAACTCAACATGAATAAATAAATAAATTTTCTTTTTAATAGACATATAAAACAATACAAGCATCTATTTCATTGTATAATGTTTAACAAGAAAAACAAAGAAAATTATCTTGTTTTGATTATATTCAGTTATTTGTTTGTTGTTGTTTTTCACGACTCCTTGTGAAATGTAAACAAACAAACAAACAAAATATATAAATAGATTGGTTTAATGTTTTGTAATTTTCACGTTTACTCTTTCTTCTTATATAAAAAGAGTTAGATTTTTAAAAGTTTTTTTTTGGCTTACGGTTTACTCAATTGAATTTATTTTTTGTTTTTTTGTTTGGCTTAAAATAAGTTAAATCTTTGTATGAAGTAAGAATTCATTTTGCTTTATTGTAAAAAGACACAAAACTTATTTCATAAATCATACAAAAATAGACCAATTAGTGATTAATAGTGAATTCTAGGAGTTTCATTTCATTCTGTTTAATATTAGTTATATCATATGTAGAGAAGTGGTTGTAGGTAATCGATAGGAAGCTCTGAACCTAGGTTATGTGCTTGTAATTTTAAGAAAACTGATGTTCCCAATGTTATTCATTAAGCTAGGCAGTGAAGTTAGTCACTAACTTGTTCATCGTGTGTGATGTTTTTATCAATATCAGTAAGGGTTTGAATCACCCTATGGTTGGTATTTAAAACTAAATTTTGATTAACATTTGTTTTACAAGTTAATATGATGATCTAGTGAAGTTTAGTATCTTTTTTATTGATGTAAAAAAAACTCATTAACACACTGTGGATATGAAATACTTCTTGACTTTGTAGTGTTAGTTAGAACGAATGTTTAACTGAATTCTGTCTGGTGAATAATTGATTAAACTGGTTACACAGATCAATACGGAACCCAGTCTCTCTAACTTTAGTATCAACGAACCAGAACCAAACTATATCACAAACATGTTTTAAAATGATCTAATTTATAGGTTGTACCAGTTACAGATTAATTTCAGATAGGGTATTGTTGACAACGAGGTAGAGCGACACAGTCACTGGGTCCCAGTGTGCCACCTACTTACAACTTACAAACTGAACAAAACTCCGCACATATTTTTTAATTAAATCATAACAAACAGTCTACTGAAGATTTCTTCAAGATTTTCCTGAAGGTTAAATAAAAGTCCGTGACTGGTGGAGTTAAGACTCGGAAGTGAAATAATTGTCGTCAATAGTATTAGTTGATCGTCGTGCTGTCACAAACTGATAAAAGTTAGAAACCTACCACTGAATGACTACTGACTGACTTTAATGGTATTCGCCAAAAGAAGTGAAGGTCCTGGGTTCAACTTCTGGTGGCGTGATAGATGAGCGTATAAGTATAAAATAAATGACTAATAATCTTAGATTTTCAACGATACTCCAATTGGGATTAATATGTGACGAATATAACTTACAGATATTAAAACTGTTCAGTCCTGAACAGTGTTCAAATATATATCTTTCAAGATATGACTTAGTAACTTTTATCTATCTGCTTTCTGTATTAGCGAACGAGCCTAAATTTTGTTAAGAATTTTATCGATGATATACTTCTTAAGGATATTTCTGATTCATGAACTCATGGGAGATTATATAAAAGACCCAGATTTACAACTTTACATTGCTGATTTGTCCTTGCCACAATCTTTTAGAATCTATCAACATTTACTGAGGGAATAAATCCGACCTATTAGCATTATCCACTGTGTTCATTGAGTATCTATAAGATTATTCATCAATTATAATTTTAGAACTGTTACTGTTGTGTAGCTTTCTTATTCAAAATCTGAACCTTTTGGTTGAAATCATTTGTATCAAATGCAAATACATAGAAACAGTTTGTAGAATAAAATAGTGTAAAGCAGATTTTTTGTTAAAATTTTGAAACTGTGGTTCGGTACATACCTATGGTAATTTCTAATTAGGGAATAATCGAGTTTATTCTAATGTGTACTATTTTTACGGAGGACTCGACAGAATAACAACCGACACTAAAACACTTTAAAGTTAAAAATTCACAAGTGAAAACAAGGTAGAGAAGATAAAGCTTTTAAGATGGATTTTTACTCTGAATAGACATATAAAATTGAAATGGAACAGCCTCTTTATTTTGTAAACCTAATGACCTTGAAAAAAAACTAACGGACTAAAAGTACTAACAACCACTAAGATAACAGTAAAAGTTTAATGCGGAATTATGAATAAAGTAAATGTTGTCGAGATTGTCCTTTATAAAAAGAACTAACACATAATAGCAGAAAACTGTGTAATCTGAGCTCTTCTTCACATTTTCTTTTACTTAACAGTGAGTTTCGAATTACAAAGTTAACAATATAAGCTCTCGAACTATATTTCTGTAGAAAAAAATATCAGCATACTTCTTAAAAATGTGGAACTTAGATTAAACAAACAACTCTTCAACATTAATCTTAAATAGAGTGATGTTGGTTGTACTTTGAAAAATTACTCATGTAGTCCATCTGGCAGCTCATAGATGTATTGTCATAAATTTGAGAGGATTTCGACCTGATCTCACGGATAATATTCTGAAATTTTATAAAAAAGAGCTGGTATTGATGTCAGTGAAAATTTATAGTTCATATTTTAACATTAATATATCTCCTCAATGACACGACGTGAACAGTGTTTATCTGGTGAAATTTTTTTAATCCTAATAATTCATCAAGACTAATTTGATAGTGTAAATACATGTTACTCTACTCACAATACTGTGAGCGCGTCAAATTACTTGTACACTGATAACGAGTCAATTGTATTCTGATAGGCGAATTCTGAGATATTCCCATAAATGATCACGTATTTCCGACAGCTCAAAACATATCACATTCTTCAAACGCTTTGTTCACATACTAACAAGCAGTTTATTACCCGATAAAAAGGTAACAGTAGGATTCGAAGTGAAATTGCAGTAGATTACAAACAAGGTCTTTTACCACCTTATCTACGAGTTGTAATTCATTCTTGCAGAATAATAGACTGAGTATAGAGTCAATTATATGAATGTTTCTCATTGATTTAAATGTTCTGTTGTGGTGTGTGCTACTGATATCGACAGATATAAGTAGTATGTATCATCAATCAAAAGAAAGGACTGGTGGCAGAAAGTTGAGAAGATCGAAGAAAAGAGAATGAGAACAGAGAATGATTGGTGTGGAGACGAAAGAACAATGAAGTCTGAAACGATTGATTTACACTTTGCAAATGAAGTATTTACTTTTTCGTTCTCATATTTTACCAAGATATTTTGTAATATTGTCTTCAAATACATTTGATTGTCCCTACTTGTTTTCTCGTTCACTACACTATCAACTTTAATAATCGTCTCTTTAACATATCATCCTACCTAATAATGCTATCTAGGACAAGTAAGTAATAAGTGATGATGAGTTCAACTGTCATCTACGTATTAATAGATAATTTTGATCTTCGGTTATATATATATAAGGGAAATCGTAACTGAAAATTAGTCATAATAGAAATAATCTTGCTTGAGTTTGTATAATACCGCATATTTTATATTTCACTATTTCATTCGTTTCTTTTGAACTAATTATCCGTACACCGATAATGTTACAATTTGAAAAACTTAGCTTCTCATCTTCCAAGTTTTGTTCGTTATGCTGATGTGAAATGTCAGAAGTTAGACCAGATCCTATATTGTTTACTAATGACTGATTGCCTGCCTGATAGATAGTCAGAAAAACTACGTTCCAGTAATAGATACACTGTTTATTGTAAGGCAATTCAACGTGCATATTTTTTATATGTACACTACAAATTGCAAGTTTTAGTAACCACTCACTGTTTACTGTATGAGTTACTTGTCCATGTACACTAAACAGCTGACTTATTAAACAATAATTCGAGATTTTATAAACTAATCTATGAAATGCTTAGCAGTGAAGTTTGGCAATGTAACTCTAATAATAAGAAAGAATATATATATATATATATATATATATATATATATACTTTAGGAATTAAGGCTGAAAAATCAGTACGTTTCAAAGATAAATGAATCTGCAGTCACATTAAAATCAGCTCAAAACGACATGATCTTAACAACATTTACTCTTTTCCCACTCAAATGTATACAATTAATTTTTTAGCTGATTTTGGTTGGCTATAACACATTAAAAAAGACAACGTAATGTGATTGTTTTATAAAGTTGATCCATAAAAATTATGTGAATGAGTCATAAGGTCAACTGAAATAAATATTGATTTATTTTTCCGAGAAAAAATGCACCATCTTCAGGGAAATTGACATCAACCTATAACATTTTATGTCACGGACTGACAATAACTAAAGAATCTATTGGAAACCACATGGCACTGGACATTTTCTTTTGAGACTCCCCGATTATGAACACCGATGATCAAACATAGGATCTAGTCGAGTATATTTCAAGTATCAAGTCGAACATGATATCAACCCCATATGGTTGAAATTTCAACAATTTCTCTCTTACACAATATATATATATATATATATATATATATATATATATATATATATATATATATATATATATATATATATATAATAAAGTGTTTTTTGTTTTACTGTTTAACAACTAATGAACACCAGATAATGTTCTAACACACCTACTGTTATGGGAATAGTTTTTTGTCATAAGCTGATATTTTTCCCAATGAACATTGGAAAATCCCAGAGCATCGAACAGTTGCTGTGTCTTAGTTCGAAACACCCACATTATATTCAATCAGTGACATATATTGTGGACTACATTTTGTCACAATCTGACACGAGCTGAAATTTAGACTGACTAAATTCTGTGCTAATCCAGAAACCTAAATGTGGTAGATTTTTTATAATCGTGATGTACACTGATGGGAGGTTTCGAGCTGTGCAGCACTCCCCGATTTTCAATAATTCTGCAATTGATATCAATTTGCTAAGGAAACTACATTCAAAGTTACAATAATCTTTTCACAAAGCAAACAAGTATTCACTGTATATCACAGATAAGAAGGAGAACTGATCTGTTCATTTTCTCTACCAATAATATTCCTTCCTTTTCGTTCTTAATTTTTCTATTCTTTTTATCTCCTACTATCGATTAATAAATGTGATCCAAGAACTGGAAGATCCATTTAGTTATCAACTGATAGCTTATCATTTAAACACTTTGCAAATATAATTTTAAAAACGTGTAAACAAATTATACTATTTTATTACTTCATTAATGAACAACCTAATCCTAGTCAGATCGGATCCTCTAAGCTGAGTAGCTTGATCGTATTATGTTTGATAAAACTTATATAACTCATTTTTTTAACTCCGCCTGTAGCTCTTCTAGAGTTACTGCCGGTCCCAAGCCCGGGTAAAGTAGGAGGGTTGGGCATGGGGTTAGCGACCCCATCCCGTAGAAAAGCTAACTCGCTAAAAAAACGCTAACCAGAAAAAATAATTCAAACCATTTAAACTCTGCCCTGGGAGTTGAAGGAATAATTATGACGTCTCATGATGAAAGCCGAAATTCTTCGGAAGTCACGAGACCGATGCACCTTCCCATTGGACACCCATTGGAAACCCATTGGACACAAACTGGACAACAAAGGCTAGGTACAGGAGAGATGCTGCTGTACTCCGGTCATGAAGGGGAAAATGCTCCACACACTCAGGGAGTTGCTCTAATACTGTCCAAAGAAGCACGAAATGCACTTGTGGGATGGGAATCTCATGGACCCAGGATAATCAAAGCATCATTCAGAACAAACAAGCAAGGGATCACAATGAACATTATCCAACGTTATGCACCCACTAATGATAGCAACGACGATGATAAAGATCAGTTCTATGAAAGGCTGCAATCAATTATAGAGAAGTGCTCACGAAAGGACCTCACCATCCTGATGGGAGATCTAAATGCTAAAGTTGGGGTGGACAACACAGGATATGAAGATGTAATTGGACGATATGGATTAGGAGAGAGAAATGAAAATGGGGAGAGACTTGCAAACCTATGTGCATTCAACAAATTGGTTATAGGCGGCACAATATTCCCACACAAACGTATACACAAAGCTACATGGATCTCACCCGACCACACCACAGAGAACCAGATTGATCACATCTGTATCAACAAAAAATTCCGAAAATCAATGGAAGATGTGAGAGCCCGGAGAGGAGCTGACATAGCTTCAGATCACCACCTGGTTGTGGCCAAGATGAGACTGAAGCTAAAGAAACACTGCACAACTGGACAAACAGCACTACAAAGGTTCAATACAGCCTTCCTTCGAGATACTGACAAGCTCCATGAATTCAAAATAACTCTCAACAACAGGTTCCAAGCTCTACAGGATCTACTGAAAGAACAAGAAACTACTTTGGAGGACAACTGGAAAGGGATAAAAGAAGCACTAACTTCAACGTATCAGCAGGTTCTTGGTCCTAAGAAGCATCATCACAAGGAATGGATCTCTATGGGAACCCTGGACAAAATACAAGAAAGGAAGAACAAGAAACTAGCAATTAACAACAGCCGAACACGAGCAGAGAAAGTCAAAGCACAAGCAGACTACGCAGAAGCAAACAGAGAAGTGAAGAAAAGCATTAAAGCCGACAAGCAGAAATATATGGGAGAACTAGCAACGGCGGCGGAAAAAGCTGCAAGAGAAGGGAATATGAAACAACTATATGACACAACGAAGAAATTGGCAGGGAGATATAGCAAACCATAGAGACCAGTCAAAAACAAAGAAGGAAAGACAATCACTGAGATTCAAGAACAGAGGAAAAGATGGGCAGAATACTTCGAGGAACTGCTGAATAGACCAGCCCCATTGAATCCACCGAACATCGAAGCAGCACACACTGACCTTCCAATAGATATCACTCCACCAACGATCGAAGAAGTCAAGATGGCCATCAGACAAATCAAAAGTGGGAAGGCGGCAGGACCTGACAATATACCAGCAGAAGCACTGAAGTCAGACATTGAAATAACTGCAAATATGCTTCACCTTCTATTCAAGAAGATTTGGGAAGAGGAACAAGTGCCAACGGACTGGAAAGAAGGATATCTCATCAAGATACCAAAGAAAGGAGATCTGAGCAAATGTGAGAACTACAGAGGCATCAGTTTGTTATCAGTACCAGGAAAAGTTTTCAACAGAGTGCTGCTGAATCGGATGAAAGACGCAGTAGACGCTGAACTTAGGGATCATCAGGCTGGATTCCGTAAGGATCGGTCGTGCACAGACCAGATTGCGACACTACGGATCATCGTTGAACAATCAGTTGAGTGGAACTCATCACTATACGTCAACTTCATTGACTATGAGAAGGCGTTTGACAGCGTGGACAGGAGAACATTATGGAAACTTCTTCGACACTATGGAGTTCCTGAAAAGATTGTCAACATTATCCAAAACTCATACGATGAACTACAGTGCAAAGTGGTGCATGGAGGACAGCTGACAGAGGCATTTCCAGTAAGGACCGGAGTCAGATAAGGCTGTCTACTCTCCCCATTCCTCTTCCTTCTAGTGAATGACTGGATTATGAAGAATTCGACATCTGAAGGGAAATACGGAATACAATGGACATCTCAGAATCAATTACATGATTTGGACTTCGCAGATGACCTAGCCCTCCTCTCTCATACACACGTTCAAATGCAGATGAAGACAGCAAATGTAGCAGCAACCTCTGCATTGATGGGCCTTCACATTCACAAAAGAAAAAGCAAGATTCTCAAATGCAACACGGAGAACACCAACCCAATCACACTTGATGGCGAAACTCTGGAAGAGGTGGAAACATTCACGTACCTGGGGAGCATCGTTGATACACAAGGATGATCGGATGCAGATGTAAAGGCGAGGATTGGCAAAGCAAGGGCGGCATTGAAGAACATATGGAACTCAAAACAATTGTCAACTAATTTCAAAGTCAGAATCTTTAATACGAACGTCAAGACAGTCCTACTGTATGGAGCTCAAACGTGGAGAACTACTACATCCATCGTCAAGAAGATACAAGTATTTATAAACAGTTGTCTACGCAAAATACTCAACATTCACTGACCGGATACTATCAGAAACAGTGTTTTATGGGAGAGGACAAACCAGCTTCCAGTTGAAGAGGAAATTATGAAAAGATGTTGAAAGTGGATAGGACATACATTAAGGAAATCACCAATGTGCATCACGACTCAATCCCTAACTTGGAATCCGGAAGGGAGGCGGAAGAGAGAAAGGCCAAAGAACACACTACGCCGGGAAATAGAAGCCGATATGAAAAGGATGAATAGCAACTGGAAAGAACTGGAAAGGAAGGCTCAGGACAGAGTTGGATGGAGAATGCTGGTGAGCGGCCTATGCTCCTCCACAAGGGGTAACAGGCGTAAGTAAGTAAGTAAGTAACTCATTTCTTTACGAAGTTCACGTTTATAATATTGTTGTCCAGAAAGATAACAAAAATACACTCTACTCAAAGAACACAATTTCACAAAAAATCATCTACCCGAGCTACAAATCATCCCCAGCACCTCATTTTAATCATTTAAATGAAAAAAAATTTTTAGATGAGTCTCATATTGTTGCTTTATCGTTTTTGTATACAATATATACAATACTGTAAAAATAAATGAATATTGAACAATCAAAGGAGGCTGTTTTAAAATGTAAAACATCCCGTTCAGAGACTTTTTCTAATTCTAGTTTTTTTTTTTTGGACTTCATTGAATATTATATATATATATATGAATTATGTTGTACATGGTCTGTCACATTCTAATATTAACAGTCGATGAAATAATTGAGGTAAACTTGAATAACATTGAAGAATTTGTTTTCGATTAGGTCCATCAATGACAAATTTACGTATTAAATTCCCTTTATATATAAATAAACCTTTACTTATTAAAATTTTACAACCTGTTTTTATTTCTATACTATGTAATATATATTTCATTTTATGAAATATTTTTAAAAATTTAATTGTATCCAATTTTGTTTGATAGATAAACATGGTATAACGTAACCAACCAATTGGTAACAAGATGTCATCATTATTATTATTACTATTATTATTCACTATGTTAACATTAGTATATATATTTGTTTTATTTAAATAATTCATCTTCATTTGCTTACCTTTCATTGATAATTGATTTACATCCATATTTGAATATATCTCATCTTCATTATATTGGAACCATTCTATAAAATTTAACATATTCGATTTTAAAATAGTAAATCCAAGTATAGATGTATTAATTAATGGCCAATAAGTTGATTTTAATTTTTTTAAATTATTTTGATTTTTAATAATAGTAATATTAGTAGTATTAATAGTAGTAGTAGTAGTATGTTCAATTTTCTTATTTTTTATAGGAACAAAATAATTGATAAATTTATTTTGAATTATTGATAAATCATTATAATAATTAAAAAGAATTGAATTCCATCTTTTGAAAAATAATAAATGACAATTGAAGTCTTTATCATTACTAACATCATTATCATCATTCAATATTGAATGAAAATTAAGCTTATTTGAGGAATCCTCATTATGTAATAAATCTTGCATATTATGATTTAATTTATGGTTATTTATTAGTAAAACACATTGATTCAATTCATTCAAATCAACAGTGAACATTGAATTTCTGGCATTAATATCATTATGAATATGATGATGAGTTTTACGCAATAATTTCAAATTAGTTGCTAAACAATTTATAAATTTATTACTTAAATAATAGTTTGATTTTTTATGATTTGAAATGTTTAAACAATTTCCCATGAATTAAAAGTTTGTTTGTTTGCTTTCATAAATAAAAATTTTTGAAGGTTAAAAATTTTTGTTTTTAATATTAATTAAAACAAAATCTCTGTGTAGTGATATACAACTAACTATACAGATATATTATAATTACAAAATCGATTTTTTTTTAAATTCAAAAACAAAAAATTAATCGATCTTATCGACTACTTTATAAGCTCCATATTGAACATATTGAATGAATGGATCATATAGTGAACAATATATATTAAATCAAAGAGAAGAAGTTAATAAACTTTCTATTAGTTATTCATTAAATAAAAATTCATTTAGTTAAGGTGATTTATGTATCTTTTGAGTTTTTGTTTGATTAACAGATAGAAGTATATATTAAATATTCCCATTGTGAAAATTTAAACACATGTAAGCAAACAACTGTTTTCAATTAGATCGTCATCAGGCTTTACTCTAATATACATGAATATTAGAAACAATACGCAGTTCTATCTTGACACATCTAATTGATAGTAGTCATAATGTAGTTAAATCGAAATCATTTTAAGTGATCTATTGTATACCTCTATCATTTCTCAACTGACTTCGTTTCCGTCTTCTTCATATAGCAGAAGCTATAGGAATTCGTACATTTCACCCCAATTTATGTGTACAGAAGAGATTTATAACCCCTCTATCCCTTCCATTGCCGGAAATAACTTAACAAATGACATTATTATTATTTTAAAACTTTATTATAAATTTTGTTATAATTTGTTGGTAATTTTCCGCCTATTTCCGTTTGTATTCTTCACTATCTCATTATTTACATACTTCTTATTACGTAATGATCACTATTCTAAGTCTATTTACCCACGTTTGAGCTCCTAATTTCACTGTTTAACTATTAATAAGAATTTTGTTATCGTAATTTAATATTCTTACTACTATCAGTACACCTATCTTCCCACTATTAACTCGTATTTTGCCTATTATGCGCGGAGAAGTATATATGTAAGTCTTATAACCACGTTTGTTGTGAGATAGGAACTCACTGGAGAATTGATGAACGGTTTCTCAACTTGGTTGGAGTTAGACATTAACATCATGTGATGCCGGGTCAGTGGTTTATCGGTTAAGTGCTCTGGCGCAAGACTGGTAGGTCCTGGGTGCGAATCTCGCGAGGCGAGGTCATGGATGCGCACTGCTGAGGAGTACCACAATAGGACGAAACGGCCGTCCAGTGCTTCCAGGTTTTGTCTAGTGATCTAGCTTCAATTGACTGACGCTTTCAACTATGAAAATAATGAAATAAAATAATACAAAACTGAATTAAAGTAACATGAAGAATTATTCTAGTGAATTTGAATTTTGACCAACAGTAAAGTCCGGAATGCAATATAAAGTATTGTTTAGGGCTCTTCTAATGAATATGTAGTGAATGAAAATGTTCAATGTAAAAAGCACAATGACTTAGTAAAATATGGAAATCATACATTAAATGGATTATTTGTACATTTTCTTTGTGTTATCCTTTAAATACTCCATTATTCCTCCGGTTCTGTTGTTATTTTGATTGCACTCCGATTTCAATCTTGTTCTCTTCATTTTAATATTCTGTTACCAGGTATTCCACTTGCCATTAGCGCTACATACTCCTTATATCTGTCAGCATAAATAGCATACACCAAAAATGTACCTGCCACATTCCAGTGTTCATATTCAAACAGGGAACACTTAAGACCTTTAATATATTTTTCAATACCTTTTATTCTGCAAAGGAGAGAGATTTGCAGTCCAGATAGATGTTTTTAGAGTCCCTGAGTTCACTGAGCTGGATAGTTTAATCACCGAGTTTCCATTCTCATTTTGGACAATATAATGAGTGCCTTCGGTACAAATTAGACAACACTTAAAGTATTCTGTTCTGAGTACGCCTTTGAGCTTTCGTAAATACTTTTATGCATTAATGTGGCACATCTATGGAGACCAGTTTTGTTTATTTGTATTAAGGTTATGATAAAGGTTGAATATTGAGATTTTCTCGTGTGACATATTATTATTTTAGACTCCAACTATTATTTTACTTATAACACTTACATTTTCGACATAATAGGTCACCAAAAAGAATGCTCCACACTGAATACAATGAGCTTTCATGGAGAAAAATAGAATGATTGATTATACAGTTAAGAAATAAATCGATAAGGATAGTATTTAATAAGAGGTACTGTTCAGTTAAGGATGGCATCTGACAGAGATTTCTTTCAGTAAAAAGGACCATTTTTATTTTATGAAAAATTAAATAAATTACTGCGATATACCATTGGTTTCTGTTCTAAAGCATGTCGGAAATCACTGGTTTGTATGAATTTTGGAACTGTATCCAATATGAAGTAATGAACCAACAAAACTCCATTTCTATGTAGCTATTTCTTGTATCACGATACTATTAAATAAACGAAATGCCTCTAGGGATTTTTTAACCCAGTTGCGACGTCGAAAAATGATGTGAGAAGTGGGAATCGCCTGGAAGGCATTCTCAAAATATGTCCAAGCCACAAAGGCTAGTGCCACAAGATTTCGACAACAAAATGTTATTACTGTATTTAAATACATGTTAAATTTTATTACCATTCTGCCCAAATTATGAACTCCAATATTAAAGTGATTCCAGCACAGTAAATCAATCTGTACTCACATTTACACATTGCATTTTAAGTTAAATTTGTTATACTAATATCCCTTTTCCATTCCCAATGATTATATGATCAATTAGCTTTGTTCACGTAGATTAATTGGTTGTATTCATTTCGACATGATTAATAATTTCATACTGACTTGTATTAAAGGTCACCAAAAATATGTTAGCACAATTACAGTTTCCTGTCTATAGCCGATACTTTTGCAGTCTAATTAGTATTTATACATGTCTATGTACACTGATATAAGTAATGACAAGTAATAAGGTTTGACTAACCAACTATTTGGATACGTAGGTAAGGGTGAAACACACTTTATTCAATGTAATGCTTCTCGTCTATTTAATCTCCCAATTTTATTTAAAGTAGACACCGTGGATGTCACTCGCAGAGATAGCAAAGGCTTTACGATTATGTCAACTAGATAAGAGAAGGTAGCATCAGTAACAGTAATACGAGGCATCCTAAATCACTTAATAAGTGTTTCAACGAATGAAGTTTAGACTGTTTCAATAAGATTGCAAGTGTCCCCTACCCAATCCTAATTAGTCAGTCGGAATATTCGGTAGTTTTCCACATAGTTACAATCGTAGTCATATTCGTAAGTAAACAATTCAATCAATTAAAATTAAATTCAAACCCCAAACACTAACTTCTGTCGCATTGATTTATGCCCGGCGATTATTTTATACTATTACCTGGGATTCGATAAAACATTGTGATCTGCTCTATGTAGGAGTAATTGTACTTAATGACTGAGGCTATCAGGACGTTTTCAATGTTCAACAAATATGAGGCATCCGAAAATTTTCACGCACTTTTCTATCCTCAGTTTGCAGTTGTGGAGTTCGCTGAATTTCATCGAAATCATAAAACGATTAATGTTAGACCACTATTAGAAACTTACAAGTACTGAACGGCCATTTTGTCCTCATATGGGACTCTCTAGAAGTGGGCATCCACGATACCTCACTAAAGACTCGAATACAAGGCCTTCAGTCTAGCACGAACGATTAAATTTTAAACCAATGAGCCAGCATCCAACGGTGTTAATGTCTAACTTCAACTAATCCACGGAGACAATAGAAGATGGTCGCTCAACATCGTGAATTGGTTGAAGTTACATATTAACACTGTTGCATGTCGGTTCAGTGGTCTACAGTTTAGCCGTTTGCGCGATACCAAAGATTGTGAGTTCGAGTCTCTCTTAAGGGGTCGTGGATGTTCACTTCTGAAGAATCTTATGCTAACCCGAAACGGCTGTCCAGTACTTTTAGGTTTACAATGATGGTCTAACGTTGGTCGGTTCATGACTTCAATGAATTTTTCCCATTCACTTATTTTATGTGCTGTACATAAATGTACTTTACACTGGAGATTCCACCATAATCATTTAAACTTATTCACGTCTGTCTGTTAAAAACACAACGATGTAGTGTATTCAAACATGGCGGAAAAAAGACACAAATGTAATGGAATTTAGAGATTGAAATGAGATCATTAAATAAACTACACTGTAATCTAGAACAGTCAACCACCAAATAAACGGGAAACTACCAGAAAATGTTGGGTACCACAAATTTATTAAACGCAGATTAACGGCCGAGGAGCCTTAGATTAACTAGCACTCAATTCATTAAACGCGTCACATAAAGCTTTTCAATGTGTTTGTTGGTTTTCTTTTCCTAAATAACTGAGAAGGTATGATCATACCTAAGGCTTTAATAAACTGTGTGAATTAATTTTTATTATTATAAAAATCATCTTGTTGACATGAAATGGAATCAAGGAAGTTGTCTTTTGGTAACGAATGAACTTTCATATAACGAGTTATTCTTGAGCGTTTTCAGTAAGCCATAAGAATACTTTATTGTAGGGTTATAATCAGACATTTTTAGTATCTATCCTGTTTGACATATAAATGGTATTGGAAAGTAACAATAAGAACTAATTCTAGGAAAGATTCAATTGAAGTTCATATGCATTGAAGTTACATAGCAATAAAGTTCATCATGAAGATCCATCAGACCAAAAGTCGTTAGTGGTTTGTCAACAAAGAAACACGGCGAATAATAAAGATTCCATAAACATACTTTTAAATAAAAAACCTATTACATACATTAGTTTGTGTACCACACAACAAATAGTAAAATTCAACGATTTGTTCCCTTTCCATTTAGAGCTGACAGCTTTCATGTAACATATACATCGACTACACATAAATAATTAACTTTATGAAATACAATAATAGTAGATCAAGCCACTTTATCACTGATCTTAGCACGAAATAAACCTATTAGAAAACGACACCTTATTGTAAAACAGAACCAGTGTAATAAGTACGAACAAGTGTCGAGAATCTGGATCTAGAAATAATTGAAAAGAATGACCCGGCACATTATGTGAGTTTCAATCCCACAGGGACTTTCTGACAAGCACCAACTAGTACAAAACATAGGTCCACGATTTCCTGTAGACTACTTCAAACAACTTAACAACTCAAAATAGTGCACGTGATGTTAAGTCACTTGGACCAATGGCCACATTGCAACTGGATCAGTAGAACACAACCGGCACGACAACAACCAATGACCAATCAATTGTAAACAACTCTCCTACCTTATAAGCTTAATATTTCACGTACATTACAATTCGAGTCCACTGTCACTCGGCCATACTGGTTTAGACATGGGTTACCCATATACAGCCACCGTCTATTAAGTCTTATGTCAATAACTAGAAAAATAACATCAGAAAAGGTGAGGGGCAGATGAGGACATAACATCAGTTCGTAAAGTCATCAACTCCAGACCAAGGCTATGTCAAGATACGGAGACTACATGGTCAGTATCCATGAAATAATAATAAACTAAGGCTGAAAATCTTAAGCTACATGACTCAACGTTGGTTACAATGGCGTAGATACACTCACTCTTTGTCTTTATATGTTGACTTTGGTATTACCTCATAACTTCAACATGTCCCATCTGCTTGAGTTGTTGTACGTCTACCCTTTATTTTTCGTAGGCATATAGTCCCATATGATATTGTTGTTAGAAATCAGATCATATAAATTGTAAAATGACAGCCAATCCTATTGATAATTACAAGATAATGCTTTATATACAAACCAGTCAGATCATCGGCAGTCTAAATAGCACTTCATCCGAGATTCGAACCCAGAAACTCTCCAAAGACATGTTCCGCTTGAACACATGAAAATATCAATAGCCTTACAAGTGCTGTTACCAAATTCCGGTGGATGACTTTTAGAAGAACGACGATGTTATAATGGATATTTAACCATGAAAATATCTCCTAACGCAGTCATAATAGTAGTTCATTAAAAAACGTTTTAATCAACGTCGTCGTCTTAGTCGACGCAACATGATCTAGTCTTGGTTTGTAATGCGTAGATGATGCATATACAGAACACACATATGTACATTTCTGCTTTACAATTCAAAGACGGTTCAAAATAAACAACCGAACTATGATACCTACTTACTTAACCAACTGTCAGTCGTAGCTTCAGAAAGATTTGCTTCATTCGATATAGAATACTTACCACACAACCTATATCTCGATCGATACCGACCTCTGATGTCCACAAAGACTGATTCAATATATATACAATGAACTAGACCATTTGATTGAGCCATGAAAATTACTATAATTAGAGTAAAAACTCATAGCCTTGCGATAACCAGCTACCACTAATCATCTAACAGACTAATACACACAGCACAAATATTTTCACTTGCATAACTACTGGACTCAGTAACCGTAATTCAATAATTCTTCTGCAAACAGCAAAGAATGATTGGTACAACCAAAAGTTATGCAGGATTAATCAACTCAGACCATCAGAATGTTACGAAAGAAAACTAACCATGGGATATTTATGGGAATGCTTAAAATAACGACCTTCGCTTAAGGTGGTTGACGATTATATACACGCGCTTACATATACAATATCACTAAGCTCCTTATACGCCGTTAATAAACATAACTTTAGATTCCTGCTAACTTGACGCAAAGTCAGGATTCGATAGTGACAACAGTATGCAAACACATAGCAGTTAGCGAAAAGAGGTTATTCACCCAGAAAAGACTTTATTTCTCATTTAAATATTTTGCATTGATTGCGTTTGCCGTCTTCAGGTTTATAAGTAAAATATTCATGTACAAGAGCTTTGGTACTTTCTGCATTATGATCCAACTTCTCCCAACTGTAAGACTCGTAATCTGTCTGCAAATCTTCGTCCAACTCGAAAATTAAACCAGTTCCCGCCCAAACCCAGACACCCTTAATTGTATTATTATTATCCTCGCCAAATATGCGCATGATACCGAACGCATACTTTGACATCCTGAAAGAAAAATGTAGTGATTCAGTAGAACATTAACTTAAAGTGTAAACGAATCTGAGGCACTACAAAAACACTAACAGACCCAATTATAGGCTGAAAAATAACCTCACATATCTATGAGAACAATCAAATAAAGTCGATGGCAAAAAGAACATATTTACGCCAACATAAAAACTTACTTCTCTGCTCGTTGGAAAAAGCCCTCAATTAAGTTACCCGTCATGAACATTAAAGTTAGCGCGTCAGAAAATAAGTAACTGCAGCTCCAGATAGAATAAGCTTCTGGGTCAAAATTGTCCCAGAAATATGAGACCGCCTCTTCTTTATCCATATTGCTGAACACTCTTTTGAATGCATCCATACCAAATTTTCCAAGAGGGAGACTTGCAAGCCGACTTTTGCTTGGTTTTGGGGGTTTTTCATCTTCGTTGGAATCTTTGGGCTTTTCCTTCTTAACAGGAGTTTCAGATTTCTGTTTTTCTTTCACCGCTACTTTCGGCTGATTGGTTTCGTGGGACTTTTATTTTTAATATAATAAAATCAGACCTACCTTTTTATGCAGCTCAGCGTACTTTTTGGCATCAAACTGAGCCGCCTTAACACAAAACGTAGACGGTCCAACAACGTTCAAAACCTCTGGTTGGTTGGCAATGGTTGTATACCAACGTACGACATGAGGATAAGATTTTCGATCATTTTCTTCATAAACATGAGTAAACAATGGATGCAAAGCTGTAAAGACGGTAATATCAGCTTGAGATAACCGATCACCAACAAGGAAAGTTCTAATTCAATTAACAATATAAACTAAACACCTACATCTTACTAAGTTGCTCATTCAGAAACTTAAGCACAGATGAAATACAAGCCTTGGCTTTCTCTGTGTTTTGTTTGTTAAACTGGGTAATACCAAGACAAGGATAAACCCAGGTAGCGACAGACGGCAGGATGTTGTTATCTGCATAATTGACCCACTGTGTGACGAAGTGTGTATTTTTACCGCCTACCGAATAAATGCTCCAAAATGAACCACCTACCTCTCAGCTGATCGGTTCCCAAACAACAGGCTATGGCATTCACATCGAAAAGACATGTACCATCATCAGCTTCAAAAACCGGAACAGTTGCAGGAGGGAACTTTTCCAAGAACTTTTTGTCCTTATCGGTCACACCAGGAATGAAATTGACAATTTTTAATGTGCAACCACTAAATTGGGCTGCAATCTGGGCCCTCCAAGATCTATGATACCCTTCTGGAGTATACAAAGTCCCTGAAACTGTCATTGTAAAACGTCACTCAGAACAGGCGTGACAAGTAATCGAAAGTGCATCAACTCAGTCCTTCGACACCGAACGGTATAAACAAACAAAAGCCTCACTTTTTTAGAAACCTTAAGGGCGAGTATACTTCATTAGCTACAGAATGCCGATAGAAAGAGACAGTGAAGGGACAATGTAAACCGAGACCCAACTTCTTTACTGTAATGCAGAGTGCAGTGTTAAAACCAGTTTCAGTTTCGAAAGGACACAAGGATTGATGGCCTGTGTTAGTCCTGGCAATGATTATCTCTCAGTTGATCCAACTTTCTCTTGAAAGAGTCGACGGATGGAGCCTCAACCACGTGCTGAGATAATGAATTCCACTCGTTGATGATTCGATGGGAAAGTCGATATTCAGCTGACAAGTAATTCGTTCTGATCTTGTGAATTTTTTTCGAGTGTCCTCGTAAATTTTCTGTTTTGGGAGACAAGAAAAGTGAGGGCGTGCTATGTGCAAATTTACCACTAAGCAATTTAAAAACTGTAATCAAGTTGCCTCTGATTCTTTGATATGACAGTGGGGATAGGTTTAGCTTGGTCAGTCTAGTACCATACGGGAGCTTCGTTATTCCGGGAATCAGCTTAGTTGTCGTTCTCTGAACCCTTTATAAGAGTTCACTGTCTTTTTTGGGCAGGGGCTGGCTGCTTGTGTGCAGTAATCAAGTTAATGTTGCACGAACTCTGTATACAAAGTCAGAAACGTTTTAGCGTCAAGATGACTAAAAGCCCTACGTATGGACCATAAAGTTCTAAAACCTTTGGCGGCTATTGCACGGCAGTGTGCAGTAGTCTTTAAGTGTTGACTGATGATGACTACTAAGTTATTGTGTTTCTGGACAATAGGTAGCTCAGTGTTAGTCATCGTGTATGTATCTGTACCCTGGTGGCCAATATGCATCACAATATACTTGGAAGTATTTATCGGCAATTGCCAGGTTGGGGACCATTCAGATAATCTCTCCAGGTCATTTTGAAGTTATAAGCTGTCGCCCTTGCTTTGTATCGCTCTCCATATCTTGACATAGTCAGCATAGAGTAAGACCGATGACGATAGAAGACGAGGGAGGTCATTTACGTACAGGAGGAATAACACTGGCCCCGAAACTGTACCCTGGGGGACTCCACTAATCCCAGTTTCCCAGCTAGACAACTTGGAGTTCACCCGTACTCTTTGTTGACACCCAACTAGGGAGTCTTTTATCCACATCAATAGATTGCCTCCAATCCCGACATTCCTTAGCTTATATAACAGCCGGGTGTGCAGAACTTTGTCGAAAGCTTTGCTGAAATCGATGTAAGCTACGTCTACAGGTAACTTTTGGTCCTTAAGAGCGAACCAGCTTTCATGATCGACTAATAAGTTAGTGAGACAAGAGTAACTCGTTCTAAAACCATGTTGATTCTCCGATAGGATCCGGTTTACATCGAGGTACTTAGACAGCTCCCTCCGAATAATCTTTTCTAAGATTTTAACAACCACACTAGTTAGGCTTATGGGTCGGTAATTCTCAAGTTTATGTTTTATACTTGTTTTGAAGACAGGACTTACCACGGCGTCCTTCCAGTCTTTTGGTACACGACCCCAGGTTACAGATAGATTAAAACATATACTTAAAGGGTTCTCAACAAAGTTAGCTAATTCCATTAGTAACCTAGGATGCAGTTCACCGGGTTCCGTGGACTTGCCTATGTCAAGCTTATTTAGCAGACCAAGGACATCGAGTTCTTTGATGGTCACCCTATCCAGTGCTTGTGGGGGGGGGGTTCATGAACTGGTGTGAGCCGAGTATGGGGTAGATTACCACTACTATAAACCATTAACATTCCTACTTCAGAAGAAAAGGTTTCAGTCAATCCACTTATGTGTCTTATGTAAGTCTTCCTAAAACTTCAATATATTGTAGGGCCAGTGAAATTTCACTGAGCCCTTGCCAAATCATCCGGCAGTTGGTTCATTGAATGTCGTACACATTTTCGAGCTTTGTCAAAGACAACCAACGCGCATGAGTTAATCGTATGCCATGGGCTGACTTATGAACTGGTGGTTTCGCTATCTTCTCTGTATTCATTCTCGCCAGTATATTTCCATGATAACGTCCTTTGTATTATATGGTCTTCAAAGCAGCCACAGTAATTTGATACGTCGAAGGGGTAATCCACGTTGGATGTTGACCGCGATGTATGACTTTGAAGTTAGCCGGTTCGTCGCAACATTCCTGTCTAACTCGATTAGGTCCCCAATCATTTGATATAGATCATTCACGTTGGGGATCTACAATACCATCAAAGCCTAGCACTTTCCCCCGTATATTATTATCATCTGCGTGTGGAAGAGTTTGACAGTCTAGAGTAGTAGATGAATTCTCACCTAATAATAAAAACGAGTTACAAGTGAATAGACCTCTTTAGCAAGCAGCATTTTACTAAAAACTAGTCAGATAGAACAAAAGGAAATATGATGAGAAGTCCAGATTTGGTAGAAAAACAAGTAGAAAACCTAAAACGTCGATACAAAGACCTATTCACTACTAGTTTGGTTTCTGCTATCGATAGAACGAAGGGTACTCATTGTCACGAAGACTCCATAAAATTGTACATAATGAACAGTGCTGGACTTCCCTTCAACTAGTTATTTAACCTTGGTTTTAACATGAAATCTAGAAGGGATACTCAGAAGTCAGAAATGCAACAGGAGTCTGGATTGTGAGAGTATCTTCTCTTCACGAGTAATCAAGTCTTAGAGTTAACTTAAGTGATCTAAGCGCTCTATGTCGAGTTCTTCAAGAGTAAACTACGAATATGTTCGGGACATTGGATATTATAGTATACTGATATACAAGCAAATCTTATTTCTGCTTCAACCACATATGTAGGTCTGTAACTGAAGATGTCGCTGTTCCATTACTAATGGGCACGGAAGTTAGTCAAACTAATTTTTTTTCCTTTCCGTTGGCAATCTATTAGAGCATTCAACACCTCATGCAGAACACGAAAACCTACTCGGATTCGGTACTGTATATCGAGGAGAGAAGCGTGGCAGCCTGCGTTATTCTTTTTCCAGTACGTTTCTGTCAGTTCACAGTCTTATCTATGGTTGTTTGATTCAAGGTGCAGATATCACTCTTGGTATTAGGTTCCAAATGCTGATCACCCTGATGAAAAGAACGTGTATCACGAGAAGTCTGCCAATGTGTGGTGATATTGGTTCCTAACCACACAGTTATGGAAGTTGAAAATACAATGACTGAGGAGACTTGCATTCAACATTCGACACCTCAAAGAAGGTTAGAAATAGTGGAGGTGGGAACACTTAACCGATATGGCATAGCCCAGCCATACAGGTGTGGTCACTCGACTCAACTTCTTCCTGTTCATATTAAACACAGTATTATATACCAAACCCGGATGTGTTACCCAGAAGTTTTAAATAACATGTTACTGATTGTCACGATGGGACGAGATAGCGTGGACAAGAATGTGCTTTCCAAGTAAGGTCTCATAGATTACGCAGTCTTATCACGTCAAGTACACAATATTAGATTAGGCCAATTATCCTACCAGCCGAGGTAAGTCTAAAACTACCGAAATTGATATAATACTATACTAAAATGTTCGACAACTATAGAATAAGGGAGGTGTTTTTATCTTTGGTCCTGTCTCACAATCATTCATGGGTAATAGTGATTCTTGTTCCACTGCCATGCGATTCTAGTTAACAGTGTCCGAATTTCACACGGATCAAGATGGACATTCACAAACTTGGATAGAGGTAATTTCACCATGGTACTTGACCTAGGTGAAATTAAAATATTAGCAGGTCATTCAGCCTGAAAGCTTGTTTTTGAAAGGGGACTTGTTAGTGGGATATAGATTGGATTAAGCATGTTTTATGCACGATGGTGTTGCTGCGCGCTGATTGGTTAGTTTTTAAACCGATCAGCCCGGGCATATTATTGCAGAAAAATCTATAAGCTTCTTATACATGTACTATAAATATATGAACATTATTTAAACCATTGATTGCTGTTCACTTATTATTATTATTTTGAATATAATTTCATTCCTGTTCAACGTGTTCTGATTTTGGGGTCTTGTCGAGTGTCATCGTATAAGAATACTAAGCAATAGGAATAGCTGGGTCGTTTATATAGCAAAAATTACAATTATAACAGGACTCAAATGCTTTGCTAATATACCTAATCCAGTATTGTGTACTTGACGTGATAAGACTGCGTAATCTATGAGACCTTACTTGGAAAGCACATTCTTGTCCACGCTATCTCGTCCCATCGTGACAATCAGTAACATGTTATTTAAAACTTCTGGGTAACACATCCGGGTTTGGTATATAATACTGTGTTTAATATGAACAGGAAGAAGTTGAGTCGAGTGACCACACCTGTATGGCTGGGCTATGCCATATCGGTTAAGTGTTCCCACCTCCACTATTTCTAACCTTCTTTGAGGTGTCGAATGTTGAATGCAAGTCTCCTCAGTCATTGTATTTTCAACTTCCATAACTGTGTGGTTAGGAACCAATATCACCACACATTGGCAGACTTCTCGTGATACACGTTCTTTTCATCAGGGTGATCAGCATTTGGAACCTAATACCAAGAGTGATATCTGCACCTTGAATCAAACAACCATAGATAAGACTGTGAACTGACAGAAACGTACTGGAAAAAGGTTAACACAAGCCACTACAACTCTACTTCTGTCTTACACAACACCTAATCACGACACTAGTAAGCTATTTGGTATGGACCTCGAATGCTCTAGGAATCAGGACACAATTACACACCACTCCCTATTTGCAACATAGAAGATACAAACTATTCAATAACCCACCACAGGGCTAAGTCGGCCCACTGCACACAGGAAAATCACAAATCTGGTCTACTTTATTGCCCACCAAGTGATTGTAGACACTGCTCGGGCTAAGCTACCATGCTCAACTCCTTGACATTCCCTCCCGATTCAACACATACAATACCTAACCTATTTTTATC